AAAATTCAACATTTTTTCCTCTCTTTTATGGCATTTAGCTTCACTATTTTTGTGCTTTTAAAAAATACTTTACTTATTTAATAGTCTCTACTCTTTGGTAAAAAATAAAAAATTATCGAAAATTATCAAAAATTCAAAAATCCGAATTTCTTTAAATTCAAAATTTTTTTCTCTCTTTTATGGAATTTAGCTTCATTATTTTTGTGCTTTTGGAAAATACTTTACTTAGTTAATAGTCTCGACTTTTTGTAAAAAATCTAAAAATATAGAAAATTATCAAAAATTCAAAAATCCGAATTTCTTTAAATTCAACATTTTTTTCTCTCTTTTATAGAATTTAGCTTCACTATTTTTGTGCTTTTGGAAAATATTTTACTTAGTTAATAGTCTCGACTTTTTGGTAAAAAATCTAAAATTATAGAAAATTATCAAAAATTCAAAAATCCGAATTTCTTTAAATTCAACATTTTTTCCTCTCTTTTATGACATTTAGCTTCATTCTTCTTGTGCTTTTGGAAAATACTTTACTTAGTTAATAGTCTCGACTTTTTGGTAAAAAATCTAAAATTATAGAAAATTATCAAAAATTCAAAAATCCGAATTTCTTTAATTTCAACATTTTTTCCTCTCTTTTATGGCAATTAGCTTCATTATTTTTGTGATTTTAAAAAATACTTTTTTTATTTAAAAGTCTCGACTTTTTGGTAAAAAATCTAAAATTAAAGAAAATTATTAAAAATTCAAAAATCCGAATTTCTTTAAATTCAACATTTTTTTCTCTCTTTTATGACATTTAGCTTCATTATTTTTGTGCTTTTAAAAAATACTTTACTTATTTAAAAGTCTCGACTTTTTGGTAAAAAATGTAAAATTACAGAAAATTATCAAAAATTCAAAAATCCGAATTTCTTTAAATTTAACAATTTTTTCTCTCTTTTATGGGATTTAGCTTCATTATTTTTGTGCTTTTAAAAAATACTTTACTTATTTAAAAGTCTCGACTTTTTGGTAAAAAATGTAAAATTATCGAAAATTATCAAAAATTCAAAAATCCGAATTTCTTTAAATTCAAAATTTTTTTCTCTCTTTTATGGAATTTAGCTTCATTATTTTTGTGCTTTTGGAAAATACTTTACTTAGTTAATAGTCTCGACTTTTTGGTAAAAAATCTAAAAATATAGAAAATTATCAAAAATTCAAAAATCCGAATTTCTTTAATTTCAACATTTTTTCCTCTTTTTTATGGAATTTAGCTTCATTATTTTTGTGCTCCTGGAAAATACTTTACTTATTAAATAGCCTCGATTCTTTGGCAGAAAATAAAAAATTATCGAAAATTATCAAAAATTCAAAAATCCGAATTTCTTAAAATTCAACATTTTTTCCTCTTTTTTATGGAATTTAGCTTCATTATTTTTGTGCTTTTGGAAAATACTTTACTTATTTAATAGTCTCGACTTTTTGGTAAAAAATCTAAAATTATAGAAAATTATCAAAAATTCAAAAATCCGAATTTCTTTAAATTCAACATTTTTTTCTCTCTTTTATGGAATTTAGCTTCACTATTTTTGTGCTTTTGGAAAATACTTTACTTAGTTAATAGTCTCTACACTTTGGTAAAAAATCTAAAATTATAGAAAATTATCAAAAATTCAAAAATCCGAATTTCTTAAATTTCAACATTTTTTCCTCTCTTTTATGGCAATTAGCTTTATTATTTTTGTGCTTGTGGAAAATACTTTACTTAGTTAATAGTCTCGACTTTTTGGTAAAAAATCTAAAATTACAGAAAATTATCAAAAATTCAAAAATCCGAATTTCTTAAATTTCAACCTTTTTTTCTCTCTTTTATGGCAATTAGCTTTATTATTTTTGTGCTTTTGGAAAATACTTTACTTAGTTAATAGTCTCGACTTTTTGGTAAAAAATCTAAAATTATAGAAAATTATCAAAAATTCAAAAATCCGAATTTCTTAAAATTTAACATTTTTTCCTCTTTTTTATGGAATTTAGCTTCATTATTTTTGTGCTTTTGGAAAATACTTTACTTATTTAAAAGTCTCGACTTTTTGGTAAAAAATCTAAAATTATAGAAAATTATCAAAAATTCAAAAATCCGAATTTCTTTAAATTCAACATTTTTTTCTCTCTTTTATGGAATTTAGCTTCACTATTTTTGTGCTTTTAAAAAATACTTTACTTATTTAATAGTCTCTACTCTTTGGTAAAAAATAAAAAATTATCGAAAATTATCAAAAATTCAAAAATCCGAATTTCTTTAAATTCAAAATTTTTTTCTCTCTTTTATGGAATTTAGCTTCATTATTTTTGTGCTTTTGGAAAATACTTTACTTAGTTAATAGTCTCGACTTTTTGGTAAAAAATCTAAAAATATAGAAAAGTATCAAAAATTCAAAAATCCGAATTTCTTTAATTTCAACATTTTTTCCTCTTTTTTATGGAATTTAGCTTCATTATTTTTGTGCTCCTGGAAAATACTTTACTTATTAAATAGCCTCGACTCTTTGGCAGAAAATAAAAAATTATCAAAAATTCAAAAATCCGAATTTCTTAAAATTCAACATTTTTTCCTCTTTTTTATGGAATTTAGCTTCATTATTTTTGTGCTTTTGGAAAATACTTTACTTATTTAATAGTCTCGAATTTTTGGTAAAAAATCTAAAATTATAGAAAATTATCAAAAATTCAAAAATCCGAATTTCTTTAAATTCAACATTTTTTTCTCTCTTTTATGGAATTTAGCTTCACTATTTTTGTGCTTTTGGAAAATACTTTACTTAGTTAATAGTCTCTACACTTTGGTAAAAAATCTAAAATTATAGAAAATTATCAAAAATTCAAAAATCCGAATTTCTTTAATTTCAACATTTTTTCCTCTCTTTTATGGCAATTAGCTTTATTATTTTTGTGCTTTTGGAAAATACTTTACTTAGTTAATAGTCTCGACTTTTTGGTAAAAAATCTAAAATTACAGAAAATTATCAAAAATTCAAAAATCCGAATTTCTTAAAATTCAACATTTTTTCCTCTCTTTTATGGCAATTAGCTTCATTATTTTTGTGCTTTTAAAAAATACGTTACTTAGTTAATAGTCTCGACTTTTTGGTAAAAAATCTAAAATTATCGAAAATTATCAAAAATTCAAAAATCCGAATTTCTTAAAATTCAACATTTTTTCCTCTTTTTTATGGAATTTAGCTTCATTATTTTTGTGCTTTTGGAAAATACTTTACTTATTTAATAGTCTCGACTTTTTGGTAAAAAATCTAAAATTATAGAAAATTATCAAAAATTCAAAAATCCGAATTTCTTTAAATTCAACATTTTTTTCTCTCTTTTATGGAATTTAGCTTCACTATTTTTGTGCTTTTGGAAAATACTTTACTTAGTTAATAGTCTCTACACTTTGGTAAAAAATCTAAAATTATAGAAAATTATCAAAAATTCAAAAATCCGAATTTCTTTAATTTCAACATTTTTTCCTCTCTTTTATGGCAATTAGCTTTATTATTTTTGTGCTTTAGGAAAATACTTTACTTAGTTAATAGTCTCTACACTTTGGTAAAAAATCTAAAATTATAGAAAATTATCAAAAATTCAAAAATCCGAATTTCTTTAATTTCAACATTTTTTCCTCTCTTTTATGGCAATTAGCTTCATTATTTTTGTGCTTTTAAAAAATACTTTACTTATTTAATAGTCTCTACTCTTTGGCAAAAAATAAAAAATTATCAAAAATTCAAAAATCCGAATTTCTTAAAATTCAACATTTTTTCCTCTTTTTTATGGAATTTAGCTTCATTATTTTTGTGCTTTTGGAAAATACTTTACTTATTTAATAGTCTTGACTTTTTGGTAAAAAATCTAAAATTATAGAAAATTATCAAAAATTCAAAAATCCGAATTTCTTAAAATTTAACATTTTTTCCTCTTTTTTATGGAATTTAGCTTCATTATTTTTGTGCTTTTGGAAAATACTTTACTTATTTAAAAGTCTCGACTTTTTGGTAAAAAATCTAAAATTATAGAAAATTATCAAAAATTCAAAAATCCGAATTTCTTTAAATTCAACATTTTTTTCTCTCTTTTATGGAATTTAGCTTCACTATTTTTGTGCTTTTAAAAAATACTTTACTTATTTAATAGTCTCTACTCTTTGGTAAAAAATAAAAAATTATCGAAAATTATCAAAAATTCAAAAATCCGAATTTCTTTAAATTCAAAATTTTTTTCTCTCTTTTATGGAATTTAGCTTCATTATTTTTGTGCTTTTGGAAAATACTTTACTTAGTTAATAGTCTCGACTTTTTGGTAAAAAATCTAAAATTATAGAAAATTATCAAAAATTCAAAAATCCGAATTTCTTTAAATTCAACATTTTTTTCTCTCTTTTATGGAATTTAGCTTCACTATTTTTGTGCTTTTGGAAAATACTTTACTTAGTTAATAGTCTCTACACTTTGGTAAAAAATCTAAAATTATAGAAAATTATCAAAAATTCAAAAATCCGAATTTCTTTAATTTCAACATTTTTTCCTCTCTTTTATGGCAATTAGCTTTATTATTTTTGTGCTTTAGGAAAATACTTTACTTAGTTAATAGTCTCTACACTTTGGTAAAAAATCTAAAATTATAGAAAATTATCAAAAATTCAAAAATCCGAATTTCTTTAATTTCAACATTTTTTCCTCTCTTTTATGGCAATTAGCTTCATTATTTTTGTGCTTTTAAAAAATACTTTACTTATTTAATAGTCTCTACTCTTTGGCAAAAAATAAAAAATTATCAAAAATTCAAAAATCCGAATTTCTTAAAATTCAACATTTTTTCCTCTTTTTTATGGAATTTAGCTTCATTATTTTTGTGCTTTTGGAAAATACTTTACTTATTTAATAGTCTTGACTTTTTGGTAAAAAATCTAATATTATCAAAAATTTGAGAAATAAATAAAAATATAATCAGTAATAATTATTTTATAGACCTTGGAAGTGAAATTGCGACAGTATCTTGCCTGATGACGATAGTAGATGTAAATTGTGGAAATCGCAATCTTCGCAATCCTAACGCAGAAATAAAGACGGGGGATTCAGAGCGAAAAATTCCAGTTTTGAAAAATGGAAACATTTATGACTTGGCTCCTATTGAAATTGAGAATCTTATTGTTACTCTGAGTAATACTTGTACTTTTGACTCCATATTTCAGTTAGTTCTTTCCTGTTATATGGATGAAGAAAGTACCCGAGTAATGGTAAATCAGCTTGGAGAACATATTTTGTTTTTTAAACTTATCCATCAAGTGGCTGAAACAGGCATAACTCACTGGTCCTATGTCCAGAGGGCCAAAATTCTTCTTCCCTTATTCAGACGTAATGAGGATCAAAATACGGACGACTGTATTATAGTTATGGACAGCACAAAAAAGAACAGAATGAAAAATAAGGGAAAAGCAGAGAAAAACAAAAAAGTGCAGACACTTGATGGAAAGAATAAAGAAAATATGCTTCTGGACTGCGCTGGATATGCTGACATAACATGTGCTTATGTCATAAAGGATGTTTACAGCTTGAAAGAGTTATTGGAATGTAATAAATGTCTTAAACAAAGAGAGTACAATCAGCACATTTTGTCAATCCCAGCCGATTATTTAAGGTCCGAAGAAATGACACAACAATTTTCAGATTTGGTGAAACGTGAAGATTCGAAGTGTACCCAAAACAATTGCGGTGGTATAGAAAAGTCAACAATTGCTGAAACAGGTAAAAAATAGTTTATTTTTTAAAACAAAATTCAAGTGTTCATTGTTATCTTTAAGAAAACGTAAAGTATCAGTAACGATGCTTTTGAAAACCTATCCTAGGCCTTGATACATTGTAGACTACATTTAAAGTAATAAATACATTATTTACAGCACATTTCATATTCTTAGAAGTCCAGGAATACAATGGACAGGATACGAAAATAAAGCTGAACAAAATTGGACGAAATCTAAAAATTGCAGAAACCACATATGCACTACAGGGGATAGTGCATTTCATACCACCAGTGTTAACCAGACATGAACAATCATCAGTAGGGCATTATGTCACCATCTCACTGAGAAAAAACGGCCAATGGGTGGAGTACAATGACTTAAAGCCATCGAAAGCAAAGAGAAAGTCCTCAAAATTCGAGTCCATGCCTCATCTTCTGCTTTACGCAAAATCGTAAAAATTAATAATTTACCAATTTAAATATTTTTGGTAATTTAAAAAACAGGAGGATTAGTACCTTAAGAATTGGTATGTATTGAAACCTATATGCTGATTCTCTAGCAGAACACTTGACTAACTGCTTCATAAATATTGACGTAGCATATTTTAAAAATTTAGACAGGGAAAAATTGAAAGATGTTCGACCTGCAGTTGCAAAGCTGTTTTAAAAATCCTTGTTTCTTTTAATTGAATCGTTGCCTGCTCAAGAGGCAGAAACTCACCTAAAACGATTTTTAATAATTTGTCTAAGTGAATATATATAAATATATATAATATATAAATTAGGTTTATTTTGTGTACATTTTTTCTTGCTCATGGAAAAATAAAAAAAACTTTACTGTTTATTCTTAATTTATTCGTTGAAATATTTAACAATCTAAATATTTTTTTTATAGGTATCAGCTTAGAAAATTATTGGTATCAGTTGGGGAAAGAAATCGAGAAAAACGTGAAAAAAATAATTGACAACGACGAAGGAAATCAGGATACTTCAATCCAAATTTAGGCAATTATCTTTTAGGTCACATGAGGCATATGACGCATTCCGGCATCTGCTGACTTTAATTATATAAGGTCAAGATTTCTAAAAAACAAAACTTTGCCAATGAGAGTCGATTCTTTTATTACAGATTACATTAAATATTTATCAGGAGAAATGAAAGTAATAGAGGACAGCTTTCAAAGTCAAGAAGAAGAATTGATTTTCTCTAAAAATCGTAATCAAAATAATGCCAAAGAACTTTGGCTTGTTGGTTGTTTTACACAGGTTATCCTGTATACTAAAAAACCTTTATATTTGTATGAGAAATTTATTTTTAGAAACGATGTTACTTCGAGAGAGGTGAGGTGTTCTAATTTATTTAGGATACCATCACATAGAACTGAACGATATTATAATTCTTTTATGATAACTGCAATAAATTTGTGGCATTCTCTTCCGGGCTCTATTACTACTATCGAAAGTCCAAAAATTTTTAAGCTTAGATTATATAAATATTTATTTTTAATGGATGAGTAGAATCTCGTTATTATGACTCTTGCCATTGTTAAAATTTTTTGTGAGTGTAATATTGAAGATTGTTTATCATTGTTGAAAATATTTTATGAATATTATTTTTATGTGTGTTTTTTCTTTTATGAACATAATGTATATTTTGAATTTTTTATTTTTGCTGAAAATTGTATTTTAATTATTGTTCTTGTGGCTTGCCTGGGACAAAATAAATAAATTATGAATTATGAATTATGAAAATAATATTTCAGAGAAAGAATAATTAAATAATATAAATTAACAAGTTGTTCATTTCATATAACCATTTAGCTTCCTCAATATAATATATACCAGTTGCTTAATTTTTATTTTAGAATAATTATTTGAAAGTGTCAAAAAATTATATTTTTGGAAATATTTAATGAGCCCTAAAATAGTCCAAAATTATAGTGCTTTTTTAAATTTTAATTCTGGTATCACATTTTTTGAAAATAGTCAAAGAAGTCATATAGCTTCCAAAGCCTGTACTTTAAATTTATCTAGATTGCAATTTACTAAATAAAAAAATGAGTTAAAAATAGTTATTAATCATGATTGAGCATATTACCATTATAATTACAAAATTATGATTAACAATTAAAAAAATGCGGATTTTATTACTTTGAAAAATTTGATAAGTTTTTATTATGTTTATATTTGTTTATAAGAAGAAAAATTGAGTTTAATACTAATTAATAATTAATAGCAGTTTAATTAATTAATCCTGATTATTAATTAGTAGCAGTATAATTAATTGATTTAATATTTACTTTAATTTTTAATTAATTAATCCTAATTATTAATTAGTATCAATTTAATTATTTAATACTAATTATTAATTAGTACAAATTTAATTAATTAATTTCAATATTTACTTTAATAATTAATTAATTAATCCTAATTATTATTAATTAGTAGGAACTTAATTAATTTAAATTTAATTTCAGTGGGCCTATCCTGTTGATTGAAATTCAGTAATAAGTAAGGAAATAAAACTAAATGAATCTAAAACTGGAAAAGTTAAAGAGAATATTTTTCCGAATTTCGAAGATAGACTGGAAATCTAGTCTTTGAAGATCAAAAGGAAGTTCAAAACTTGTGCGAAAATTGTGCGACTGTTTCCTTGAAGCAGTTTATGTTCTTCAAAAAGAAAAACTTTTATCAAATACCGTTGATTTTTATTTATTTTTCTGTTGAGATTTTCGACTGATTCATTTTTTTGATAATCTCGTTCTTTTAATACGAACTGAAATTTTTATCTCTACAATTTTTCAATTTTCTACCCGAGGAAACGAAAGTGAATTTTAATATTTATTTTCAATACAGCGGATTTTTTTCTATTTATAACGAATTAAATCACTAGTTAGATTTTTTAATGACGAAATGAGAACTTATCGACTAAATTTATGACCAGGTGACAAATTGTAAAAAAAAAAATTTTTTTTTAAATCTGCAATGAGCGATCAACTTTAATCGAATAATGTCTTTAATTAAAAAAATTGTCTTCAAAAGAAAAATATTTTTTGAAAAAATATTTTAAGAAAAAAAAGCGATATGTTTCTTGCAGAATCTGTAAATACTGTTAATAAGTTATTGCCTCTGTATATAAGTTATAGACTGTTCATTTTTTTTTACAAAAGTTGCAAACATAAAAGTTCAAAAGTGTTTGAAATAATTATGCTGTCAACTTGCTGTGATTTTTAACTTGCAAAATTGTTCGTGTACATAAGATTTGTTTCACGATTTAAATAAATTAAATTTGGTTTAATATTATTCCGGAAGTTTTTTTTGTCTTCCACTTTTAACTTTTACTCTCCTTTTCATATCCATTTTAACCTTTTTTTTGTCTACGATAAGACAAAGAGAAACAAAATAGAAATATTTCGCACCAATAAAGAAAAATAAATAAATTACATACCAAGAAAAATTTTATATTTAAAGACTCACTTTAATTCGTCGTTGCTGCCTTCTTGTCCCATCGTTGAAATCCAAATGAATCCAAATATCCAATTTCTTCTTTCAGGTTGAATTTCCATAAAACAATAATAATCACTTGCCGATCATAAACGTTGCAAACTTCACTTTCATGACAAAACACATGTAAAACAAAATTGATTAGGTTAGATAACCGAGCTATGAATATTACTAAAAAAATCACTATTTTTTACACCGTCATATAAACATTCATTGATACTTAAAATTTTCGGGTAAAAACAAACGATAAGATCGTAATAATGAAAATAAAAAACAAAAATGTAAAATCGAGATAAAATCCACGTGTCTAAACAACAAAGCGCACTATCACATTTCACACCGATAATCGTTTTAATACACCAATCACATGTGCTTCTATGTAAATATTATAAACCACAAGTACTAATCACGTAATTCTTTCTTTTTTTCCGAGTATTTTTATTATAATCACCATTTAATTGACAAAAACAACGCGGATGATGCACGCACACTTTCAGTTAATCCGAGATCCGAACTGAAGCACATTTAATCATGGCTGCCAACTGTAGAAAAAATAGTTCACTTGAATTCAAAATACTTGGAAGACTTTAATTAAGTGCAATATGTTCAAAAATTGGAAATTTTAGATTCTAAACTTGTAAATTTAGTGAAAATAATTCACACTATTAAATTTACATTATTAAACAATGTTTTTTTATTATTAGAAAAAGAAAAAGATTCTCGAGCAAATCTAATTGTCACGTGACCCTTTCCAACCAACCACGTGAGATGGCGGGAAATTACGAAAAAATAGACGTAGAAATTAAAATTGAGAGACAAAGAAATAATTAATAGAAAGAAAATACGGACAGAAAATACAAAAGAGCTAAATTAAAATATAGAAATAAAACATTTGCTTTAATTAAACAATGGATTTTATTTTTAAAGACGATTTATTTCTCGAAATTCTAATTGTCACGTGACGGTTTCAAGCAATCACGTGAGATGGCGGACTGGCGGGAAATTTCAAAAAAGTAGAATTAAATAAAGAATAAATTTGAAAAAATATAAAAAATAAAATAAATGCAAAAATAGGAATTAGTTGAAAAAATAAAAAAAGAAGATGAATTATGAATATTAATAACTTGAGAAGTAAAAAAAGTGACGTTGTAAAAGAAATGTACATAATTATATTTTGTTAATACCATTAATACTTTTGTTTTTAATACTTATTTAGATTGTTAATTATGATTTAAATTTAAATTATGGTTTAAAAGGTTTAATTGGTTTAGAATTAATAATTAATTGGTTTAAAAGATTAATTAATGATAAGAAAGAAAAAAAATAGGAAAATATTAAAAATTAAAGACTTTAGAGGTCACTGCGAGGACGTCGGACGTCGTCTGCTACTAACATCAATAAAAAAATGGCGCAAATGGTGAGATGTAAATTCGGATTGTTTTCATTGAGATTTATAAATCGGAAAGTGCCACACATTACCTTACCAACGAATCTTCAACGATTATGTTTTCACACAAGTCAAATATTCGACGGTAAGTTAATATTAACAAAAATTAAGTGAATTTTGTATTAACTCGAAAAGTGAGGTTATGTTCAAAATACTTCACATGTCGAAATAACTTATTATTTCTTAGAAATTAATACATGAATTTTAATTTTGCTATTAAATATTTAATCTTCCACAGTGTCTTTATTGAAATTATCAATTATTTTTATTTTTAATTATCTATTTTGGTTATGCAATCAAAAATTTGTGCGAATTGTACGGTAGCTGTCAAAATTTCTTTTTCATCCGAAATATCGAGGTGTTATTTAATGAACAATTTTTCGAGAATTAATATTTTTTACTGTTTCGTTTTATTGTAATTATATTTTTTATTTTCAAGTTGTGATGGTGTATTCTTTCCATCAAGATTCAAGGTTATTTTAGGTTAAAAACTCGATCTCTAGTTCGAGTTGAACTTTTGATGGTTTTGACAATTTTTTTTAAATTAGAGTAAATTGAAGTTATTATTTACTTGTTATTTTTATTTACAGTGAAGGGCAAACCCATTTTAATGCCTTCACTTTCTCCTACAATGGAGACGGGGACAATTGTCAAATGGATGAAAAAGGAAGGAGATCCAATTGCTCCAGGAGATGCTCTCGCTGACATTCAGACCGATAAAGCAGTGATCACTATGGAATTTGACGATGAAAGCATTTTTGCCAAAATAATCGTAGGTTTCTTTTGACTTTCCTCAAAATTGTCTTAATAATATTTTATATATTAATGAATATTTATTAAAATATTAAAACTTTTTACAGTAAATTGAATATTTAATTAAATAGTAGCTATTTATTTAAGATATTTATTTAATTTTATATTTATTTACCAGGTTAAAGAAGGGGTAAAAGATATAAAAGTCGGAGATTTGATAGCGTTAGTGGTCGACGCTGATGAGGATTGGAAAAGTGTGGAAATGCCTGATTCTGCTTCATCATCGGCTAGTGCACCATCTACAGCGCCTGCCGCTACTTCGGCTCCTGTAGAGGCTGCTGAACCGCCTCCTGGACAGTTCGTAAAAAAAATATTTCTCTTCATTTCTGAGGAAAATTTCCCTTTATTTTTCTATTAATTTTTTTCCTTTACTTTTTCAAGACAAAATGTTGCAATGCCGGCACTTTCTCCGACAATGACTTCGGGAACGATTGTGAAATGGTTGAAACAGGAAGGCGATGGAATTGAACCTGGCGATGCAATCGCTGAAATCCAAACCGACAAGGCTGTCATGACATTCGAAATGGATGAGGAGGGAGTCATTGCCAAATTTTTGGTACTTCAAATTTTTTTGTCCTCTTTTTTCTGCTTTTGAAAATTTTTCCTTTTTTTCGTTTTCTTTGAGGACTTTACTTTCTTTGCTATCTTTGGAGATTTCTCGAAGTTTGTTTTCTCGAAAGTTTTCTCTAAATTTTCTTTGACTTTTTTTGTATTCTTGAAAGTTTTCTCTAAATTTTCTTTGTTTTCTCCAGAGATTTCTTTGTTTTCTCTGGAGATTTTTTTGTGTTCTTTGAACTATTTTCTTTTTGGAAAAAAAGTGTAGAAGGAATTTTTAATTAACGATGAAACAATTTTCAAGGTTCCCGAAGGCGCGCAAGCTGAAGTTGGACAATTAATAGCAATTGTAGTCGAAAAGGGAATGGATTTGAAATCTGTGGTCGTTCCCGTTGTGACGAAACCAGCCGCAGCGGGTGCAAGTCCGGCAGCGAAAGCTCCCGCCCCGGAAAAAGCCACTTCTGCCCCTGCAGCTTCGTCTCCTTCTTCCAAACCTCCACCGAGTGGCCAGTAATTAAACACATAATTTATAATTTTTTAAATATATTTAATTTAAATTTATATATTTTTAAAAATATTTAATTTAAATTCACATATTTTTTAATTAATATTTAATTTAAATTTATATTTTTCAAATATGTTTGATTTAAATTCGTCTATTTTTAAATATACTTAATTTAAATTCGTATATTTTTGAATATTCTTCATTTAAATTCGTATACTTTTAAAATACATTTAATATAAATTTATACACTTTTTTCAACATATTTAATTTATTTAATTTATAAAATAATTAATTTCGTAGTTTGATTAACGTTTGATTGAATTTTTCGCAGAGTTTACGGCCTGGCTGTGAAGCGACTTCTGGAAGAATACGGCTTAAGTTCAGGATCTGTTAAAGGAACTGGCCGACCGAATCGTCTATTGAAAAGTGATGTTTTAACGTTTATCCAAAGTAATAACGTTCAAAAACTCACTCTGAAATCGGGTACAGAAAGCACGCCGGGAGCAACAAAGACTGCAGAATCATTTGTTTCGACTCGAACGAGAAGATCAACTGGTCCATCTACTTACAAAGACCTAGAAGTTTCGAATATAAGGGCCGTCATTGCAAAACGACTCGGAGAATCGAAGGTATTGATTTGGTATTTTAAAAATTTCAGATTTTTAATTATTAGATTGTTGAGAAGTAATGTGGAGATTTTTTCCAGAGCAATATTCCTCATTCCTACGCGAGTATACAAATTAAAATTGACAAACTTAATGAAGTACGGAGTAAACTTCTGGCTGATAATGTGAAAGTATCGGTTAATGATTTTATAACAAAAGCAGTTGCTCACGCTCTTCTGGAATGTCCGGATATTAATTGTTTATATCAAAATGGACAGGTAAAAATATAATTAAAGGAAATTTTCCCTTTTAATTAATTAATTTTATTTTTTAATAATTATATTAATCGTAATTAATTAAAATTTTTAGACGGTACGAGCTCCGAGTGTAGACGTTTCAGTGGCGGTTGCAACTCCAAACGGATTGATTACTCCTATTGTTTTTAATGCTGCAACTAAAAGTCTCAGTGATATCTCAGCAAATATTCGAGAACTCGCTGTTAAGGCTCGAGAAGGAAAATTGAAACCTCAAGAATTTCAAGGAGGATCCTTCACGTAAGGAAATTAGCTCCTATTTTTTCAGGGTTGCCACAGGTCAGAAAATTCAGGGAAAAGTCAGGAATTTTTATTAAAAGTAATGGAAAAAATCAAATTTTTAGAATTCATAAGATTAATTATTTTTAGCAAGAATTGAATTATTTTCTAGATTTTTTATACAATTCTTGTCAAGAATTCAATTATTTTCAAAAATTTCATTAAAATCTTGTCAAGAATTCAATTCTTTAAAAAAATAACAATTTTTAGTAGAATTTCAATTACTCTTAAAATATTTATAAAATTCTTGTCAAGAATTCAATTATTTTTAAAAATTTCATTAAAATCTTGTCAAGAATCCAATTATTTAGAAAAATAATAGTTTTTCTTAGAATTTCAATTATTTTTAAAATATTTATAAAATCCTTGTCAACAATTCAATTATTTTCAAAAACTTCATTAAAATCTTGTCAAGAATTCAATTCTTTAAAAAAAATAACAATTTCTAGTAGAATTTCAATTATTTTCAAATTTTTTCATAAAATTCTTCGCAAAAAATCAATTATTTTAAAAAATTTTAATAAAATTTCTCTCAAAAATTCAATTATTTTCTTAAAATTTTATAAAATTCTTCATAAGAATTCAACTATTTTCATAAAGAACAAAACTCTTAGTAGAAATTAAATTTTTTTCAAAATGTTTTAGAAAATTCTTCGAAAATATTCGAATTAAAATAAATAAAATTTTTTTTTTATTAAAATTAATAAATGACAAAATTCTTCGCAGAAATTCTATTATTTTTAAAAATAACTAAATTTTTAGCAGGAATTCAATTATTCTCAAATTTTTTTATAAAATTTTTCGTAGAAATTCAATTATGTACTTTCAAAAATTTTAATAAAATTTCTCTAAAAAATTCAATTATTTTCTATAAATTTTATAAAATTCTTCGCGTAAATTTCATTATTTTCAAAACTTTCAATAAAATTCTTGCCAAGAATTCAATTATCTTTATAAATAATAAAAAAAAAACCTTCAGAAGAATTCAATTATTTTCATGAAGGACAAAACTCGAATTTTTCGAAAATTGTAATTAATCTTAAAAATTTTATTAAAATTCGTTGAAAGAATTCAATTATTTAAAAATTTGTTGATTAAATTCTTAAAGAGAATTCAATTTTCAGAAACATTCAATTATTCAATAAATTATTTATTTTTGTACTTTTAAATATTCGAATTCTCGTAGAATTTTGTAATAAAAAATTGATTTAATAATGAATTTCAGTTAAAATTTTAGATAAAATTGAATATTAAAAGCAATAGTTTGAATTTTTAGAAATAATTGAATTTTGAAAAGATTTCTAATTAAAATGTTTGAAAATTTTAATTTTTTCATACCTTTAACTAACAATTGTTTTTCTCGAAATTAAGGAGAAATAAAATTATGTTTTTGTGGCAGCTCTGTTTCTATTTTTAGTAAAAATAATTTTTTTTTACAATTTCTGATTAAAAATTTGATTACTAACAAAAATTTCTATTTAAAGGATCTCCAATCTTGGAATGTTCGGTATTTCCGAATTTTCCGCCATCATAAATCCACCACAAACTGCTATTTTGGCGGTTGGAACTGGTAGAGCAGAATTAGGTAAATTCAAAATATAATAGTTTAATTAGCAATTAAATTTAACTTTCTACTCAACAATTTGTATTTAATTAAATAATACTGATATTACTTTAATTAATTAAATTGAATTAAAATAAATAAATTAATTGAATTTAATTAATTAATTTAATTAAATTAATACTCATAATTTAAAAAAATATTCAAGCGGTTGATTTTAAATTTTTTCTAAGGTTAATCTCGTCTTTTTCAGATGTCTCGCTAACGAAATCGACTTTAATGACAGTAACATTATCCTACGATCGACGAGCGATCGACGAGGATCAAGCTGCCGATTTTTTGGCAGTTCTTCGTGCCATGTTAGAGGAACCCACTTTCCTAGCAGTGGGCAGAGCTCAAGCAAAGCGATACCGACGCGAATAAATATTATTAATTAATTAATTAATTAATTAATATTAAATACACGAATTGTAATTTGCAAGTTTCCATAAAAAAAACTCGCACTGCCTTCAAGAGAGAAACAATTCACTGTACAAATGCGGAGAACTCTTTCGAGTTTTTTTCTAGAAAATTTTGTTAAGTCTCAAGCCGATCCTTCGATCGGATGTCGCAGTTTGCTAACGAGTTCATCAAAAAATTATTCCCAACTCAACAAATGAAAGTAATTAGAAATAATTATAAATAATAGTTGTCCAATTAAGAAATAAGAACTCGATAGTTCAGTCTGCAACGTAGCTAGAAACCTTATATAAAATAAAATGTAAGACCAAAGCATTGGTTCCAATTTGAGTACAAAGAGCATATGTTACTTCAAAACCAAAAAAAAAAAGGGAATTTTAATCAATTTGCTTCGTATTTTAATTAACACCCTGAAGCCGCAATATGGAATTCAATTACCGGAAACTGTAAATTGACTTGTAAATAAAGTATTTATTGTTCAGTTTTTTTTGTCGGTTACATTGGTTAAAATTTGCGTTTTTCTTTTATATTCCATTAACTTTAAAATCACGAATTTTTGTAGAAAACGTATTTTTTCTAGTTCTGACAATAATTTTGCTTTACAGAATATAAAAATTGAATTTATTTTAAATTATTTGGAGAATAATTTTATACTTAAAAATTACAAAAATAATTAAATTTTGTAAGAGTATGCGATTACAATTTATTTCAAATTGTTTTTCGAAATTAGTTAAATTTAAAAATATTTAATTGAGTTTTCGAATAATTAAAATTTTGTGAAATTGTACTTCAGAATTAATTTCGATGAAATTTCTCTTATTGTTCAAATAATTTATTCCCAAAGAACTTTGTAAAATAATTATTAAAAATTAATTAATTAATTTCAGATTTTTACAACTTGAGTTTTTCTTCACGAATAATTTAATTAATTTTAAATATATTTCTGAAGCAAAAGATATGAGCTAAAAAATATTCTGACCAAAATTTTTTAATCCTTCTCTTCTGGAATGTCATCTGCACAATAATAGTAAGTGCTACCATTATCTAGAATTACTTTCTCAACACAAAATTCTGTAATAAATTATTAAGAACATTGTTTCATTTAAATTTAATAATTTTCAGTAAAAATGTTTTCAGTAAAAATGTTTTTTTTTTTCTTTTTGCCAATATTATGATTTAATGAAGAATTTTAGAAATATATTCCACAAAAGAATTGAATTTTTTTGGAAGTTACAATTTTATAAATAATAAAACAATGAAATTTAAAATTTTAGAAATAATTAAATTTCAAAATTTTTCAAATTTTATTAATTTTTCATCGCAACTACAATTTATGTAAAAGTTTATATTTAAATATTTAAATTTCTTTAAATATTAAATATTTATTTGTAAAAATCATGAAAATCATAAAAATTTTAAATAATTTTAGTTAAAAATTCGAATTTTTTAATTTTGAAAAAATTACAGTTTTTTTTAGAAATAATTTTTTTTTTAAAAGGTTTGAAATTGAAAATTTAGAAAATTAGATTTCTAAAATATCGAAAACGTTAGTTTTTCAAAAAAATTGTTATTCAAAATGATTTTCAATTTGTTTCACTAATAAAATTAAATCGTAAACTTTTTTCTTTTTCTGTTTTTTTCTTTTTCCTTTCTTCGAATATTTGAATTCTCAAAAATTGAGAAGAATTTCAGTTAAAAATTCCAAAAATACTTGAATTTATTTAAATTTTCCAGAATTTTTTACTAGAATTTAATTTTTTTTGTTACGTTTACAAATTTAATAATTGAAAACAAAATTCTCGACTTGTAAATAATGTATTTATTGTCCATTTTATTTTCCACGGTTACATTGGTTAAAAAAATTGCGTTTTTCTTTTTTTTTTCTATATATATCAACAAGACCACGTTTATATCACAGTCTAATTTTCGATTAATTTTTCCTTTTTTTCATTTTTAAAAATACAATCTAAATTAAATATATTTATATATAGAAGTAAAAATACATCTTTGCTTCCCTCAATTGTGTTAAATAAATTCTATTTATATACATAATATACTAAGTAATATGGGTTAATTAGCATTTAGCGTTGAGCAATCAAAAATGCTCTCAGGCACATTTTTTATTTTTTTTTGTCTAATATTTAATAGTAAAAAGGCTAAAAAAAATTGTGTAAAATTCTTTTATAAAATTTGGTTTCTTTAAAAAAATCAATTTCATATAAAGTTTGGTCCCCTAATTAATACTAAATCTTAATACAGAATTGTGACTGGCCTCTCTAAATAAAATTGGCACTACTTTGTTTGCTTGTTCTTTATGCGCGAATAAAAAGTAGAGGAGAGTATTTTATTCGACTAAGATACGTTAAAATCAACTTTTTTTTTGAATCTTAATGAATTTGTTTTTAATTCATATTTTTAGCGTTTGAAAAAGTAAATTCAATTCTATGAATTTTTTCACGTCTGAAGTTGATAAATTCTTTCTTTTTTCAATTAATCTAAATTTACAGTATTTGATTTTTTTATAGTGTCTCAATTCACTGACTCGTCGGTATATTTGAAAAAAATTAAATTTTCCGTTTTTCGGATTTTTTTTACTGTTTTCTGTATTAAAGTAACAAAAATCCGTTTGAATTCAAAAGGTTCAAATCTTTAATTGGAAAAATTTCCAAAGCGCTCTTTGAAATTAGATTTTTTCAAATATTCTTTTTTCAAATTGATAGCAATTCAAAAGTCAATGAATAAAACTGTGATGCGTGAAAATTGTGGCACTTTCCTCTACTGAGAAAAATCTAAGAAGAATTTTTCGAATAGAAAAATAAATTTCAAGGCTTTTTAAATAAATTTAACAATAAATTGAAAAATAAATTTAAAAATAAATTTAAAAATCAATTTTAAAAAATAAATTTTAAAAAGCCTTGTGTAAAACTTTTTGCGCCGCTCGAATGAGCGGATTAAGACTACTCAGTTCGGCACAATTGTCGAGGAAGGGATGTGCGAGTAATTCCTCGGCAGACGATCGCTCGTCAACCTCAACGGCGAGGCAGCATTCGAGGAAATTTTGAAAGATCGGACTCAAAGTGTTCCACCTTGGAATCGATGGTTTTCCATTTGCCGAGGCGATTAAATAAAGAGCACGAAGTGGAGCTTCGTTCATATAAGGCGGCTCACCTTCAATCATTTCAATCGCCATTATTCCCAATGACCAAATATCCACCTTCTTTCCGTATTGTTTCCTAGTGACAACTTCCGGTGCCATCCAATATGGAGTGCCAACCATTGTCTGCCTCTTCTCATCGCCAACGATATTCGCACAAAATCCAAAATCCGTCACCTTCACCTCACCCCTCATTCCCAATAAAACATTGTCCGATTTAATGTCACGATGAATAATTCCCTTCGAGTGGAGGAAACTTATGGCTTTGAGAACTTCACGACAAACGGCGGCGATTTGCGCCTCCTTCATCACAGTCTCGGTGACGACGTCCGTGAGTGGTCCGCCCTCGAGTAATTCCATAATTACCCAGAGATGCTCGTCGAGAAGATAGGCGTCGAGGAAATTTACAAGATTTGGATGTTGGAATTCTTTGAGAACTTTTATCTCGGTGAGGATGAGTTCTTTTTTTAATTGTTTGGAGAGATCGATTATTTTGATCGCTACTTTTTCGCCGTTCGTTAAGTCGGTGGCAATGAAGACAGTTCCTGATGCACCTGCACCGACTTCTTTACTTCGTTTGAAACGATGATTTGGATCGTTACAGTTACAAATTCGGCGGAGTTCTTCGAAAACTTCCTCGTCGCCGAGTCTTGTGATTATTGACTCGGCTTTACGTCGAAGGACGGGACTTTCCTCTGCGTCGGGTATGAATTGCTCTTGAGGCACGTGAATTTCGTCGGGAGAATTATCGTCTATTTGATAATTACTTAAATCCTCCAATATTTCAGTCAATGTTTTCTCCGTTCGTGTGTGTTGACGTGGGGCTGGTTTCGGTGGTTTTCCCAATTTCGGCGGTAATTCTGGTACCCTTTGAATCTGTCGAAGGAGAAACGAATTAATAGGAATTGAAAATTGAAAAACAACCTTGGTTTTTTAATTCCAGACATGGGATTGACATTGAAACGCAAAAAAAAAATTTATACGAACTAAAAATTGAAAACAATCTTGGTTTTCAATTTCAGACTTAGGATTGACTTTTTACTGATTTCAAGGCAAGTTATTAAATTTTTCCCTTATTCTCATCATTAATTTCAATTCAGTTTTTGTAAAATTCAGTTATTTTCAAAGAAAACATTTTTTCACATTTTTCATCAAAAACACAATTATTTTTGAAAAATTGTAATAAAATTCTGCAAAATATAACGATTTTGTTCAGAATTATTAATTAAAATTAATTTCAATTTTCTAAAAATTTATTCATAAAAATTGTTAAGAAAACTCATAAAATTCAATTATTATCAAAAAATTTTAACTCATTCTTCTCTAATTCAAATATTTTTTATAATTTTAATTAAATTCTTTAAGCATTTAATAATTCAACAAAGTTTAATTAAAATTTCCTAAAATTTTAATTCAAAACCTTTTCAAAAAAAATTACTTTATAAAAAAATTATCATTTTTTCAAAATTCAAAAATTAGAATTTTTAACTAAAAATATTGAAAATTTTAATAAATTTTTAAAATAAATATTAAAATAAAGGTAATTAAACTTCTACATAAGTTGCGATAAAAAATTAATAACTTTTGAAACCTTTTTGAAATTTAATTATTAAAAAAAAATTCTACTGTAACTTTTAAAAATTCAATTATTCTGTAGAATATATTTCTAAAATTCTTCTTTAAATCAATTATTAATCACTTTTGCAAAAATTCTTTGAGTATTTAATTATTCAATGAAAAAAAGAAAGTTTATCGAAAATAATTCTATAAAAATCGTTTACAATTAAATTTTACGAAATTTCATAATTATTCGAAAACTATTCAATTCGATGTATATTGAAAAAACTCGAAAAAAATTACTAATAAATAACTAATTTAAAAAAAATTTGAATTACAATTTTTCAAAGAGCAAAAAGTTGTATAATTTTTAATTGAAATTATTCAAAATTCAATTCTGGAGAAATTTTAATGGAAAACCTTTTAAAATTCAATTATTTCCAAAAATATCTACTACAAATCTTCAGATATTCAATTATTTTCTTAAATCTTTTACTCATTCTTCTCTAAATATAATTATTTTTGATAATTTTCATTACATTAAAAAAAATCAATTATTTTTAATAATTTTCATTAAATTAAAAAAAATGCAATTATTTTTGATAATATTCATTAAATTCAAAAAAATTCAATTCTTTTAAAAAATTTTAATGCAAATTCTTTTTAAATAAAATATTTTTTTTGTAATTTTTGAAAAAATTCTTTGAGAATTCAATTATTCAAAGAAAAAAAGAAAATTCTCGAAAAATAATTGCTAAATTCAATTTTACAAAAAAAATTCAATTATTCCGGAATTATTCAAATAATTCTTTTTAAAATTCAACTGATTTACAAAAAAAAAAATTGAAATGTTTATTACAATTTAATTTAAAACTTTTTGAAATTGAATTATTTCTAAAATTTCTATAAATATTCAATTATTTTTCGGAAATTTTTAACTCATTTTTCTCTAATTCAATTATTTTTGATAATTTTTATTAGATTCTTTGAGAATAAAATTATTCCAAATAGCAGAAAGCTCTTTAGAAATAGAAAGAAAGTTTAATTAAAATGCAATTGTTTTTTATTCGATTTTACGAAAATTGCATTTTTTTTTAAATTATGTACAAATAAATAACTAATTTCAAAAAAAGAAATGTGTATTAGAATTTTTCAATAAAACAAATATTCTTATCTAATTGAATATTTTTTGATAATATTTATCAGATTATTTGAAAATTGAATTATTCCATAAAATAAAAGAAATTTCACTTAAAATACAATTTACAATTCAATAAAATATAAAAAAAAATTTTCTTAGGTATATATAAAAATTAAAGTTGTATCTTTTCAATTTTTTCAAGTTTTTAAATGTGAAAAAATAGGACAGTTTAATTTTTTAGAATGTTTATCAAAAAACAAGAATTTTTCTATAATTTTTAGATTTTTAATATTTTTTCCCTCTAATTTGGACAAAATTCCCTAAAATATCTTTGGACTTGACTTTAGGGAGAAAGATTTGACTCACGTTATCTTTTACGCTTTAAAAATGAAAATAAGTAGCATTTTACAGAAAAAGAAATTGTATTTTTCGAAATATTTGAAAAAAAAAATTCAAAATAGTCGCATTTTATCAAAATAAATTGAAAGAAGAAGCTTTTTTGAAAATAGTTAGCTAAACATCGTATCTTTTGAAAATAAGTCGAAATTAAGAAATCAAAAAATTCACTAATTAATACCTGACTGTCAGTGGAACTCGCAGAAGCCGAGCCATCAGAACCTCCGGATTGATATTTTTTCGCCAAGATCTTATCGATTTCCTGTGACTCTTCCTCGATTAGATCTTGCGTTACAAACGGTTTGAAAACCTCCTCTTGTGGTTTTCTCTTAATCGAATAATTATAATACTTAATAGCCTGTAAAGCTGCCGTCGGATGTTGCGTTTGCTCCGATTTTGTAATTTGTGCATTTAATAATCGAATCCACGGGTCTGGAAGGCCCTCCAATTGTCCTGGAAAATTAAATTCAAAAATTAAATCCAAACATTCACTTCGAACTTAATTTTCCAAATTAATTCATTCTCATATTTTTAAAGTAAATTCTTTTTTACCTTTTCGATTTAGTATTTACCGAGTACAAAACATACTAAATTTTTAATTCCAAATCAGACCCCCTTGACTTATGCTAAAAATAGAACTTAAGAGAAGACCCAAAAATTCCTAACGTTCGAATAAAGTACTTTTTTGTTTTCAAAATTCAAAAATGCGATAAAGACAATAACGAAATGTTTTAAAATCAATTTTAATCTTTCACTTGACGAATTGTAATAAAATTTTCTTAATTTGAACGTTTAGAACGTTGGGGACATAAATCATAAAATTATACTAACCTGTGAACTTATTTTTACTGACATGAAACTGATGTGAGACATTTGTAGGAAGTCCAATTTCAGCAGCAGTATTCAACGTCTCCAGATGATTTCCACTGTGATGTTTCTTTTTGGAAAAAAACTTACTGATACTCAAACTCATTTTCTTACGAAAACGAAAATACTTTCGTCTCTCCGTTTTGAAGAGTTTAGAAAAACCACAGATTTTGGCAAAAATATTATACACTTGTCAAAATGATTTTTTTTAGGTTAAGATCACTTCTCGGTTAATAACACTTTCATTTACGATGATTCACACATGCATGTATATATTTATAAAATATATATTCTCCAATGCAATTTTATTCCCAGCAAACACTTTGGAATAACATTCAATTCATCCATGTGCCATTTATGGCATTTGTGTCAGATTTTTCAGTTTCCAATTTTTCCACTGCTGAAAAATTACACTTTGGAAAATGAATTGTTTAAAACAATGCGCCTTTTATCATCATCCGGTGTGCAAATAAAAGGCGTTTACGGTTTGTAAGCTTATCAGTTGGAGTTTTTTTATTATTAAGTTTATATTATTATATATGTATATACTAAATTACTATATGGGTGTAACTAAAATGACAATGATGCTGAGAATGACAAGAATGACGCGCGAAACAACGCCATCTGATGATTAATCTGATATGAATATATGAGATAGATAAGATTGATATTAAGAGGTTTGAAAAACAAAAACAGGCGAAACGCGAAAATAACAGGTAATCTACTAATTATTGGCAGTAATTACAACCATTTAGAAACAATAAGTGAAGTACTTTTTTACCATTAGTCCATTTACATAGTCTTGACGTCTTAGTAGAGGTTTAAATTACTATCAATTCACAAATTTAAAATTTACTCTTTACAATTTTATTAATTTATTATTATTTACCACATTATATTATTTTCTTCCTGATCTATTTATATTTTACAAAATTTTTTTTTGTTTCTTGAAATAAAAGAAATTGAATTCTTTTTAATTGAATAATTGAATGCCTTAAAGTTGCAGCGAAGTTCAACTGGTTGCCTATTTGTCGGTAAGGTAGAAATTTTAAATATCAACCTCTACAAAAGTAAACAAACAATTATTTTCGAAAAAGTCAAAAGTTTTTAGATAAATAAATTGCGTTCAGCATTTATTAGATTCAATTAATAAACTGTTAAGTTGTCAATATTTACAATAATAGCTATTAGACACTTGGAAAGAGAATAAAGAACCGATTATAAATCCTAATCGGTATTTTTTGTCGCCAAAATGATTTATTTTAATAATAAATCAAATAAACCGGTAAACTACAACTTTGAGGTTAGTGTCCTAACGTTTATTTTTCGTCCTTAAATTTTAAACGCATATTTTAAATCATCAAATTTGAAAAAAGTTAAAAAAAATGGTAAGAGAGAAAAAAGTGGAAAAAATTTATTTGATCAGATCCAGGTAATTTTTTTTCGTGAATAGATAAAATGACAGAGAAGATCAATGTCCTTTGAAGATTTTTTTTTATTATAGACTTTTGCTCCCTGCTTTTGCTATAGCAAAATTTGTCGACACGTTCTTTTTATAATTTAGGGTTTATTTACATTTATCTACTGAAAAGAGTGCTTCAAATTCTCTTTTCTTTTTTCATTATACAAATAAAGGAAAAAAATGAGAAATGTTCGAATATTATTTTACTTATACTACGATCCACGTGTCAAAATTAAATATATGTAAATTAATAACAAATAAAATATAATAATAATAAAATAATAAAAAAATACAAAAATAAAATATAATATAATAGTAAAATAATAAAAAATACAAAAATAAAATATAATAATAATAAAATAATAAAAAATATAAAAATAAAATATAATAATAAAATATAAATACCATATCACGATTACTGTAAATTAATTGTAGTATTTATTAAAATATTTGGTTATTATTGTAAAAAAGCTTTTACTCTCTTATATCATTTTTAATGAGACCACTCGCGTAATAATGTTAACTAAAAAAAAAAAGCAAACAGTATTAGGTCGTGAATATGTGAATGAAATTTATACACACATTAAGCGAGCAACGTTCTGTCAAGTGCACTTGAAATTTTTCATTTAGAAAATTTTTTTTTCCTTTAAATTTCTATTAAAAGTAGAATGCTGAATATTTTTAAATTATAATGATTACGTAGTATATAAAATTGTTAGCAAAAATTTAATTATTATCAATTTTTTAAATGTTAAAATTCTAGGCAAAAATTCAATTATTTTCATAACAGAAAAAAATGCGGATAAAAATTTCACATGAATTCAAATTAATTAAAAAAAATTTTTTTGATAAAATTCTACGCAAACATTCAATTATTTTCATAACTGAAAAAAAAATTTTTACAGGAATTCAATTATTTAAATTTAAAATAAAATTGACATAAAATTTGTCGAAAAAAATCATTAAAAAATTTTTATAAAATTCGCAAGAATTTAATTATTTAAAAAAATTTTATAAATTTCTTGTCAGAATTTTAATTATTTTAAATTATATTTGCAATAAATGAATTATTTACAATGGAATTTTAATAAAATATACCTGAATTCAATTATTCTTAAAAATTCTAATTAATTTCTTTGCAAAATTTCATATTATTTTGAATTTTAAAAGAAATTTATTTAAAAATATTAAAAAAGTTGACTTTTTAAAAAAAATTTTAATTATTCAAATTCTTTTGAAATTAGTTGAATTTTTTAATATTGTTAATTAATTATTAAAAATTATTGATTTAGAGAAGAATTTTAGTTGAAAACTAAAGAAATATAATTGAATTATGGAAAAGTTTCAAATAATTACAATTTCCATAGAAATAATTGAATTTTGAAAATGTTTCAGGAATTATCATAATATTCTTTGCAAAATTCAATTATTTTCAAAAAATTTTTTTTTTAATTGTCAAGAATTGAATTATTTTCAAAAATTTTTTTTTTAATTGTTGTCAAGAATTCAATTATTTTTTTATAATAAAATTCTTCTCCAACATTCAATTATTGTCAAAAATTTTAATAAAATTCTGGGAAATAATTCAATTATTTTAATAAATAATAAAATTCTTAGCAAAATTATCGTAATAAAATTTCTCGACAAAATTTAAATATTTTCAAAAATTGTAATGAAATTCATTGATAGAATTCAATTATTTTCAGTAAAAATTTTCAGTAATTAAATTCCTTTAAAGAATTCAATTATTTTCAAGATAGTTTTAGTATAATTCTAATATAATTCAATTACTATCAAAAATTTTAATAAAAATCTTCTCAAGAAGCTAATTATTTTCATAAACAAAAAAATTCTTCACAAAAGAATTGAATTTAAAAAAAAATTTTTTTTTGATTAAATTGTAGGAAAAAATTTAATTGTTTTCTTAAATAATAAAAAATTTCACAGGAATTCAATTACTTACAAATTTTTCTATAATTTTTTTTTTTACAGGAATTCAATTATTTTTATAAACAAAAAAATTTTACACAGAAATTCAAATGTTTTTAAAACAATTTTAATTATATTTTCTAAATAAAAGGAATTTCAAGCTTTTCTAGAATTTTAATATAATTCTTTGCAGAAATTCATTAATTTTCAACAATAACAAAATTCTTGGCATGAATTAAATTTCATTATTTTAATAAATAAGAAAATTATTCGCTGGAATTCTTATCAAGAATTCAATTCTCTTATCGTAATAAAATTTCTCGACAAAATTTAAATGTTTTTAAAAAATTTTAATGAAATTTGTTGGTAGAATTAAATTATTTTCAGTAAAAATTTTGTGTAATTAAATTCCTTTAAAGAATTGAATTATTTTCAAGAGTTTTAGTATAATTCTAATAATTCAATTATTATCAAAAATTTTAATAAAAATCTTTTTAAGAAGCTAATTATTTTTATAAACAAAAAAATTCTTCACAATAGAATTCAATTATTAAAAAAAATTTTGAAAAAAAAAATTTTGAAAAAAAAAAATTTTTAATTAATAAAATTAATTTTTGAATTAAATTGCAGGAAAACATTTAATTATTTTCTTAAATAATAAAAATTTCCCAGGAATTCGATTACTTACACATTTTTTTATAAATTTCTTCGCAATAATTTCATTATTTTTATAAATAATGAAAAAACTTTGTGGAAAATTTTTTAATATTTGTTTTTAAATATTTAATTGATAATATTCAAGTAATTGGTTATTTGAATGAAAAAAAATTTTTTTTTTCTTTAGTAGCAGAATCAGTAGTGTACTAGTAGTGGTACTATTATTTTGACGTCAGCAATGAGACAATGACTTTTCCTGATGTTAATGTAACATTATTACTGTTCTTTTGTACAAACAGTGAACATACGTCATAGAGATGAGATAGATGTGCGATTCTGGAAGCGTTGAGCACAAAGAAGTTTTGCGAACTGAATGTCAAATGGGAAGAACTGAGAAATAATAATGAAGAGAAACAAACACAGTCGACTCCCGTTTGATCGGCAAAACTTGAATTGTAGATATTATGCGAATGAAAGATCAGTTCGCTTTCAGTTCAAGATCAGCTCGCATCACTGTGCAAAGGGAGCGTATAGTCGTGTCTTCCCCCAAAGAAAGCTAATCAGAACAAAATTCACTGAAAAAAAAAATATCAACAACCATTTTTTCAATTTTTTGTAAATTTTCAATTTCTTTACTCAAACTTCATTCTTTATTTTTTGTAAATTCGAAAATTATTCAATTATTGTACTGAAAAATTAATCCAAAGTTGTTTTTCGAAAATTATTCAATTATTCAAAAATCATTCAATTATATTTGTAAATTAGTAAATTAATATATTTGTAAATATTGGTAAATTAGTAAATTATTTCATTATTTTGTATTGTTTGAAAAATGAAAAAGCCCGAAAATGTAAATTTTAAATTTTTAATTTTGTAACTAAGAGAACAATTTTTAAATTAAAACGAAATTATTTGGAATATGGAAAAGAAAGCAAATTAAATTTTAGTCGATTGGTAAAACTGAACTGAATTCAAATCTAAATCTAAGCAAATTAATAAATATTCCTGAAAATCAATTTTTTTTACTTTATTTTTTTTCCATTAATTTTTGTCATTAGAAAATAAATATCAAAAAAGAATGAAATAATATTAAAAATATATTTTCGAAATTTAACGTTTTTATTAAATATAGAAAAAAAAATAGAAAAAATATTTTAGTAGGAAAATAAAACGAATGGAGTGAAATTAAAATTTGTTCCGAAAAAAAGAAGTAAATAACAAATAGTGTATAAATATTATAATAGTGAAAAAATAAAGTGAATAAATAAAGTGAAAAAATAAAAGAAGCAGAATTTCCGAAAATAATTCAGGTAAGAAGTACTTTTTAAAAAATTTATTAATTTTCGTTCGGTTTGTGATATTGGCATTTAATTTTCGCGCGTAAATTGAATTCACATTTATGTAGCGAATTTAAATTAAATTTCCTTTTATTAAAAACCATAATGTAAAATACTGCTTTGCAATAATTTTTATAAAATATTAACTTGCGTTTGATTAATAAAATATTGGAAAAATTTCATTATTTTCCACGCGCTTTATTATTTCCCAATATAATCAATCGGATTTCTCAACAATGCCAATTCAATTATTTTAATTATACGTTTATATACATGCTTTCATTTTGCTCTTGTTTTCAAACAAAATAACTCAAATTTCAATTTAAAAATATTTATAAAATAAAAAAAAATTTTTATTCGTATTTCAATGAGTTTACTGCTTGTAATTAAAAATTAATTTCGTAGGTTCAATAATTAATTTTATTTATTAATTATTGAATTATTAATTCATCATTATTATTAATTATTGAATTATTAATTCATCATTATTATTGATTATTGAATTATTAATTCATTATTATTATTATTATTATTATTATTATTATTATTATTATTATTAATTATTTAATTATTATTTATTCATTATTATTAATAATTATTTATCAATTAAATTATTAAAATTCAATTTATTGAGAACTTGGAAAAATTCCGACACTGAAAAAATTCGCAGTCGAGAAGAATTGAACCCGGGCCCTAATGGTTACGAGTCAGGCAATAACTCCACTAAACTATGTCACTTGATGTAAATTAAATTATTTATTATATTAATTTATTAAATTAAAGTTAAAATTGCTAAAGAAAAAAATGTATTTAATTCAAATAATCGATTACTTGTCGATTGTCAAATAAATATTTACTTGAATCAATAATAACTTTTAGTTAAATCAAATAAATTTGAACAAATTATTTCAGTATTTGAAGCAAATACATACGATTTAAATGGATTTCAAAAAAATTATTTCAAAAAAAAATTATTTAAGTAAATATTTATTTGATTAAGACAAACAATCGTTTATTTCATTCAACGAAATTTTTTTTTTCAATGTGGCAAATAAATATTTACTTGAATCAAATAATTTTTATTTAAATCAGTCAAATCTGTTTTAAATATTGCAATTATTAGTTCAAATTTATTTGGTTTAAAAAAAATTTTTATTTGATTTAAATAAAATTTATTTCATTCAATAAATTTTTAGGTACTTAAATCAAAGAATTTTTATTTAAATCGAATAAATATTTACTTGAATCAAATAATTTTTATTTAAATCAATAAAATTTGCTTTAAATATTGAAATTATTGGTTAAATTAATTATTGACTCAAATAATTATTAGTTCAAATAATTATTGATTCAAATAATTATTAGTTTAAATAATTATTGATTCAAATAATTATTTGTTCAAATATATTTGGTTCAAGTAAATATTTATTCGATTTAAATAAAAATTCTTTGATTCAAGTAAAAATTTATTTTTCAATAGACAAGTAATCGTTTATTTGAAGCAAAAAAAAAAATTTCTTCTGTGGTATCAAATAATTTATTGGTTCAAGTTTATTTGATTTAAATAAAATTCGTTTGATTGAAATAAAAAATTTTTTTTTTGAGTGCTGAAAAGATTAAATTTACGATAGCTATTTTTGTCAACAAGGAAGTTTATTTTTTTTCTCCCTCAGGTAAAACACATGAAATTTTATATTGAAAAAATCAATAAAAAAATCCTCTCACACTAAATGAAACATTTTTTTTTTTGTAGGTACTTAAAGTTTGCAGAATGTTATAAACTCGTATATACATGTATATATTAGCGCATAATCGTAACCTTGAGAAATAAAAAAAAAATCTTGTTTCTTTTCTGGAATGTATCCTGATGAAAAAAATAGACAGAAGATGACCTTACAATTTTTATACATCTTCCATCTCTGATGTATAAATCAATCAATTTTTTAAAAAAATTTAATTAATTTTTTTTTGTTTTATTTTATTTGAGAGAAAAAATACTGTAACAATTTTGAAAGGAAAAATATTCTGCGCGAATATTCACATCAGAAAGAAATTTATAAAAAAAAATTTCCTTTCCCCAAAATTTAATTGATTTAAATAAAATTTATTTGATTCAAGTAAATATTTATTTGATAATTTGCTTCTAGGGAAGTTTTTGGTTGAAATACAATTTATTTGATTGAAATAAAAATTATTTAAATAATCAATTAAATGTTAATTTATAAATTAAATAATTTAAAATGTAATTTAAAAAATTTTTTTTTCACTCAAGTAAATATTTATTTGATAATAAAAAAGAAATCGAAATTTATTTGAATCAAATAAATTTTTTTCATATTGTGATAATGTCGCAGAATTTAAAGTTTTGTTCTGAAATAATTTGCATCGCGATAATTTTCAATATATATAAAAGTGTGATAAGTGCAAAAATAGTGTTAGTAGGAAATTGAAATGTAACGTATAATTTTCTTTTGATGTATTGCGCATTTTTCTTTTGAAATTCGGTTGAAAAAAGAAAATTAGTTTATTTATTCTCAGTATAAAATAAAACCTTTGTAACTTTAAAAGAAAAAATTATTTTTAAATTTAAAATTAAAAAAAAATGTTTTTAAAATGTTTTCGTAGTGGAAATTATTATTATTATTATTATTATTATTATTATTATATAATATGTTCGGTATAACGTGAAAAAAAAATTTTTTTTTACAGGCGAGTTTAGAAAAATTCACTTGGATAAGACGAGAGTGTGAAATTTTGAAAAAAAGAAAAAAAAAATGTTACTTTTTTCTATTCTTCTATACAGCACTTATTTGCCAACAAATTGCCTTGGATTTTCATTCATATTCGACGTATTTTTTGGAAAAGGTGGAAATATTCCCCGAGTGCGAAATATCGAGACAGCCAGATCTTTGAATCGATTCGCGATTCTGGATTTTGTGAGTAAAATAATAATAAATTTTTCTCTCTAAATTTTGATTATACTCTAGATTTTGTTTAACAAATTTTTTTTTGCTAAGTTTTTTAATTATAATTAACTAAATTAATAATTTTTATTTTTTAATTCAAAAAAATCATATTTGAACCAATGATTTTATTTTTTTTTTGTTTATTTAGCAATTAGGTACAATTTAATTTATTGAAAAAAAATTAATATACAAAAATTATTCAAGTAAATATTTATTTGACAATAGAAAAATAATTGTTTATTTGAATCAAATAAATTTTTTTTCAGTGTTAAATAAAATAAAATAAAACTTTTAAATTTCTGATATTAATTAATTAGTTAACAGTAAAATGAAAATATTTTCATTATCATTCTTCTGTTAATTAATTAACTAAAACAAAATAAAAAAAAAAAATTTTTTTTTAATGAAAAATATTTATTTTTCTTTCTGAAGTAAGGTCCGCCAAATATTGACTTAAACTACTTGCGAGTGAATAACCTTTGATATGGACAGAAATTATTCTCATTATGTCTGTTAACGTTATAAAGCGAAATAATACAATTTATTATCTTCCTTATTACAGTAACAAAAATAATTTTACGTAAGACGAAAAGTATAATGCAAAATTATCATTATCGAGTCAATAATAATTTTACCATTAACGTACCTTTTTGATGTTAAATATTGTAATTATTAATTTATCGCACATTATTACAAAAAAATTTGTTTTTACATGCTAGTGAGAAAATTCAAAAAAAAATTAATATTTATAGTATGTAAATTAAAGGTAAATTAAAAAATGAGGAAGAAAGTTTAAATCTCAACATTAATAATAAATTTACTTGTCATTACATAAATATGGAAAAGTGAACTTCATCAATCATCTTTTTTTTTTAATCTTTACCGAGCCTCATCATTGTTAATTAAATTATTATCAAACGAAGCGTTAAGTCATTTTATTGAAAAAAAATTAAAGTGACACAAATATAGTTATAAAAGAATAATATTTTCATTGTAAGTTAGTTCATTGAGAATAGTTTTTTTAATTATAGCAATCAAACAATAATAATAATATTAATCAAACAATAACAATAATTAATAATTGACAATTAATAATTAATAATTATAATTAATATCTAAGTTACCTGTTATTTGAATCAGAAAATAAATTTTTTTTCCTACGTATTTTATTTGCAAATTGAGACAAGCAAAAATAAAAAAAGAAAATTAGTTATAAATTATAATTAATTAATGAATTAACTAATTATATTTCGTTCCTATTTTAAAATGTTTTTTTATTTCTTTCCTAGGAAATAAATTTCTGCTACTTCCTAGCAATATTTGATTCAATTTCTAAGTTTTGAAATTTTAAAAATAGAATATAGAAAAATAGACTATAAAATAGAAATAAAAAAATAAAAATAAGATTATTTTTGGTTGCAAAAAAGAAATAATCGGTTTTATAGTTAATATATTACACTCGATTATTTCTCTCCGATTGAACTTGAAAATGAAAAGGAATGAACAACTTTTTTTTTTCTTTTCGATCATTGAATTTGATTGAATGACGTAAAAATTCTCTTAATATGGTCATTATCGGACCTTGAAAATCGATCGAGGATGAAGATCAAAATTTGCCCGCATCAAGGTGAATAAATTTAGCAGATTTATTATCTTAATTTATATGGTTTCAATTTTTTTTTTTTTTTTTTTGAAATTCTACGCGACTATATAATTTTTTTACTGCGTTTAGATATTTTTTTTTTAGTTATAGGTATAATAGGGACAAATAATTAAAATTTAATGTGGCAGATTGAGAGATTTTAAATACTTAATTATATATAATAGAAAAAATGAATAATAATTAGGTAAACGGTGCAAACGAGAAAATATATTTGAAAATTTAATAATTTAATTATACACTGAATTAAAATTTATTTGATTAAAATAATTGATTACTTTGCTAAATTAAATATTAAATTAAATTAATTAAATTAAATACATTAAATTAAATACATTAAATTAAATAAATTCAATAAATTAAATAAAGTAATTAAATTGCTTTACTAAATATTTACTTAAATTCACTGCGACAGTGAATAAATTTTGGAAATATTTATTACTGTACATTTTTATATGTCAACTTGTTAATGTTAATATTTAAATTTAAAAAAAAAAAATTTTTTTTGTATTTTTTGTTAGTTTTTTTCGTGTGTTTATAATATTGATAAATGCTTTTTATGCAGATTGGATTAGTCGAACGGCACGGGTTTCCGGCAGAAGAACACATTGTCACAACTAAGGACGGGTATATTTTAAAAATTCATCGAATCCCAGGCAGTGCTTCAAAGCCAAAATCGAAAGGAAAACCAGTTGTTTTTTTGCAACACGGTATCCTCGCTTCTTCTGACACTTTTGTCTTAATGGGACCCCAAAGAGATCTCGGTAGGAAATATTTTTTCCTTGTTATTTAAAAAAAACATTTTTTTGTTGATAATATTATTAAAAAATAGTTAAAAAAAAATTATTCTCAAAAATATTAATAAAATTCTTTGAAACGATTCAATTATTTTCAAAAATTTCAATTATTCAATTATTTTAATTTCTTTTCAATTTAATTATTCAATTCAATTGTTCTTAAAAATTTTATTAAAACTAGAATTCAATTGTTTTTAAAGAAATTTCATTAAATTCTTTTTAAGAATTCAATTTTAAGAAATAATCAATTATTTAATAAATTGTTTATTTTTACATTTAAATAATTGAATTTTCGTCAAACAATCTAAATTCAATTATTTAAAAAAGATTGTTGCTAAAATCCATCAAAAAAATTCAATTATATTCAAAGCGAATAAAAATTTAACAGGAATTCAATTATTTAAAATGTTAAAAAGTTAAAATACAATTTTCGTGAAATTCTTTCGAAAAATCAATTATTTAAATTTTTTTATAAAACTTCCTCGCAAGAATTCAATTAAATTCACAGACAAATAATAAAATTTTTCACGGAATTTCAATTATTTAACAAATGTTTAATAAATTTTTTCTCGAGAATTCAATTATTTACATAAATAAAAAAATTCTTTTCGAAAATTCAATTATTTTTAATAGTTTCAATAAAATTCGTTGCAAGAATTCAATTATTTTCACAAATAATAAAATTTAAGGCGGAAATTCAATTATTTAAAAAAATTTGAAATAAAATTCTTCACAAGATTTCAATTATTTTTATAAATAATAAAATACACCTCAAGAATTCAATTATTTTTAAAAAAATTCACTAAAATTTGTTGCAAGAATTCCATTACTTTTATAAATAATAAAACTCATAGCAGGATTTCAATTATTTTTAATGCAATTTTAAATTATTTCATCAAAAGATGCAATTATTCTTAAAACTTCTATTAGAATTTTTTGAAAAATTCAATTATTTTTAAAGATTTCCATTATATTCTTTCTAAGAAATCAATATTAATAAATAATCAATTATTCAAAAAATTATTTATTTTTAAATTTAAATAATTGAATTTTCTAAATTCAATTATTTAAGAAAAAATTGTTAATAAAATTCTTCACAAAAATTCAATTATTTTTAAAAGAAATAAAATTACCACAGAAATTCAATTATTTAAAATACAATTTTCGTGAAATTTTATCGAAAAATCAATTATTTGATTTTTTTATAAACTTCCTCGCAAGAATCCAATTAAATTCACTTAAATAATAAAATTTTTCAGGGAAATTCAATTATTTAAAAAAGTTTAATAAAATTTTTCGCAAGAATTCAATTATTTTCAAAAATAATAAAATTCTTCTTAAAAATTAAATTATTTTTAAAACTTTCTATAAAATTCGTTGCAAAAATTCAATTATTTTTATAAATAATGAGATTTTAGACAGAAGTTCAAGTCTTTAAAAAATTTTAAATAGAAATCTTCACAAGATTTCAATTATTTTTATAAATAAAAAAATTCGTCTCAGGAATTCAATTATTTTTAAAAATTACACTAAAATTCGTTACAAGAATTCAATTACTTTCATAACTAGTAAAACTCATCACAGGATTTCAATTATTTTGAATACAATTTTAAATGAATTCATCAAATATTCAATTATTTTTAAAAATTAAATTCTTTCTGAAAAATTCAATTATTTTTAAAAATTTTAGTAAAATTCGTTGCAAGAATTCAATTATTTTTATAAATAATAAAATTCATCGTAGGATTAAATTAAAATTTATTAGAATTCTTTGAAATGATTTAATTATTTACAAAAATTTTAATAAAATTCGACGCAAGAAATCAATTATTTTCATTAATAATATAATTCTACACAAGAATATTCAATTATTTTCAACACAATTTAAATGAATTTCTTCGAAAGAATTTAATTATTTTCAAAAATTTTGATACAATTCTTTTTAAGATTCACCCGATTTCAATTATTTTCAATACAATTTTAACTAAAGTCTTCGAAAGAATTTTAATTATTTTTTTTGAAAAAATTAAATATTCTTAAAAAAATTTTCATAAAAGTCTTGTCAAAAAGTCAATTATTTCCATAAAATAATGAAATTCTTCAAAGAGAAATTATTCAATTATTTTCAATATAATTTCATTAAAATTTCCTGATAAAATTGAATTATTTTCAAAAATCTATTAAAATTTACAAAAAAAAATTTTGTTTACAAAAAAAATTATTATCATAATTCGATACTTAAAAATCAATTAAAGTTGAGAATATCGATTTTTGAAATCAAGTCAAATTTTCTTTTTTTTATAATAAACAAGTTTAATCAATTATTTGAATCAAATAAATTTTTTTTCTCACTGTAGAAAATACGAAACTAATAATTATCGCTTATGGATAAATTAAATAAGAATAATTGTAACTGCAAATAATTGAAGGGCATTAACAAGGTAAACGTGTTACGTTAGTTGCCCTGCAATGAACTTGATAATCTCAACTTTCGTCAAATCTAGGTCAAGATAAACCAGATAAATTATTGTAAAAAAATAAAAAAAATAATCATAAAATTTACATCGACACAAAACACTACATTCTATAAATTATTAGTCCTATAAAATTGCCACTATCAATATTGCATTAATTTAAGGAAAAATTTTTCGAATCTTTCGTATTAATTTTAATCAAAAAGACGTAATTTTTATTCTTTACTTCTTTTAATTTTTAATGTCATCCTTTATTTCCGGTTTATTGCATTACTTATTAATTTTTTTTATTAATAACTCAAATTTATTTGTTTATATTTATTTTTGAATTTCTATTTGTGTTTTTGATTTTTAATCAAAATTTACAATACCTATTTTTGGTAAATAAATAAAATGAGAAAAAATTAATAAACAATAAACGAAGAAAATTAACGAAAATAAATAAAATAGGAATAAATGAATAAAAATTAATAAAAATAAACAAATCGTACAAGGCCTCTTAGAAATTAATTTTTTAATAAAATTAATTAAACAAAAATAATTAAAGTAAGAAAAAATGAATAAAAATAATTAAAGTAAGAAAAAATAAATAATAAATTAATAAAATTAAATAAAATAATAATATAGTTAATTATAAATTATAAATCATAAATTATATTATAAAATACAATAAAAATAATAATAAAAAATAGAACAAAAAATAAACGAGAAACAGGAAAAATGATTTTTAAATTTCTCTGAAAACAAAAAATCGTAGACATGAAAAATTCTATTATTAATGCAGAAGAGTTGATTATTTGTCAAAGCGCGTTGAAAAAAATTATTTATTCAAGAATTGAGATAAAAAAATAATCAATTCAAGTTTAAAGATCAATTAAAGTGTTCAGTTAAATGACTTTTTTTGTATTAATAGAAAAATTAATGATCTTTTTCTAACAGTTGTAAGAATTTGAATAATTTTGTTGTTAAACTCTATAATAGGTGGTACTTAGCTGTAATATTCTTGTTAATTACTTTTTTTCATTTTTTGGTACAATTTCCTGTTTTTAATTATCCAATTATTGCACATTTAATAAATATTGGAAGTAAAATAAAAAAAAATAAATAAAAAAATATTTTTTGGTACGTTCTCTTTTTTTAATTATTCAATTGCAAGTTTAATAAATAATAAGAAGAAATATATTATTTATTCTTATTATATTTTATTTATTTATTATTTTTATTATTTTATTTATTTTATTTATTTTATTTATTTTATTTATTTTATTTATTTTATTTATTATTTTATTTATTATATTTATTTATTTATTTATTTATTATTACATTTCTAAACAGTTATTATATTAATAATATTTATTTATTAGAAATAAAATGAAATAAAATAAAAAAATTAATTTTTTTATCCTGTTCCGTTAATAATTAATTAAATAAATAAATAAATAAATAAGAATAAAAAAGTAAAAATATGATAAAAAAAGAAAGAAGAATTGTTTTTACTTTGTTTAAATTTGATCAAGATTTGAAAAAAATAATTTTCTATTTATTTTTTGCAGCATTTTTATTGGCCAATATTGGTTACGATGTATGGCTCGGAAATTCACGAGGAAATACTTATTCAAGATCGCATAAGAAACGATCTCCTGACCGTGATCCTCAATTTTGGAAGTTCAGGTATTGTGAAAATACTAAAAAACAAGTTTTTTTTTTATCTGCAAAAGAAATATTTTGATTTAAAGTCTTTTTTCATGCATTAAAATAATGCATGAAAAAAGACTTTAAATCAAAATATTGGATAAAAATCCAATTACTATAAAGAAGAATATAACGAGTTTATTTATTGACGTCAAAGAATTCGAGGAAATAATGATGCTTTTCAATCGCATATGAATTACATAAGCCATCAAACGTCAAAATTTTCAAAATTCAAATCTTAAATGCTAATTAACTGATTACTATTGCACTAATTATATTAATTTTCATATTACCAAGAAGTAATTAAAATGATTCTTGGATTTCATACGATGCACGAAAAAAAAAATTTTTGTTCAAACTTTATTTGATTCGAACTTTATTTGATCAAAACTTTATTTGGTTCAAATTTTTTTTTTTGATTGAAATATTATTTGGTTTAAATTTTATTTTGTTTTAAATATTATTTGGTTCAAAAATTCTAAATTTTTATTTAACAAAAAAATTTGGTTCAAACTTTATTTGAATCAATCTTTATTTGGTTCAAATTTTTTTTCGCTTCAAATATTATTTGGTTTAAATTTCCTTTTACTTGAAATATTATTTGATTCAAATTTTATTTTGCTTGAAGAATTAATTGTTTCAAATAAATTTGGTTCAAGTTTTTGGTTTAAACTTTATTTGGTTCAAATTTTTTTTTCGCTTGAAATATTATTTGGGTCAAATTTTATTGGGTTTAAATTTTATTTTGCTTGAAATATTATTTGGTTCAAAAATTCAAAATTTTTATTTATCAATTAAATTTGGTTCAAACTTTATTTGAATTAATTTTTATTTGGTTCTAAGTTTATTTATTTCCAATTTTTTTTTTTGGTTGAGAAATATTATTTGGTTCAAATTTTACTTGCTTGAAATATTATTATTTGCTTCAAGTAAAAATTTGATTTGTTCGATTAAAAAAAAAAATCTGATTTAGTTATAAAAATGAAAGAGAAAAATTTGAAAGAAATGGAAAAAAAATTGATAGTGGAAATTTTCTTCTTTCAGCTACCATGAAATTGCGATATATGATGTATCGGCAACAATTGATTACATTTTAGAAGAAACTGGAGAGAGCAACTTGACTTACATTGGCCATTCAATGGGAACAACACTTAGTTTTGTTCTTTTATCAATAATGCCAGAGTACAATGAGAAAATAAAATTCAATATTTGTTTGAGTCCGGTCGCCACTTGGAGGCACAAGCAACCGCCATTATTTCAATTTGTCATTAATAATGCTCCTCTTATGCAGGTATATAAATTAATATACAAAAATATTATATTATTTATTATATAAATATTGAATTATACACTGAAAAAAATACTGAAATTTTTAATAATTTTTGACAAAGTTTCATGAGAATTTTTAAATCCATTTGTTTAGAATTCAACTTTACGGAATTCCGATTAACAGGAAATTGTTGAATTAAATTTTTGTTTATTAGAAAATAAAAAATAGAAATAATTTCAAAAAAATTTTAATTAAAATTTTTCAAAAAAATTAGTTTGACAGGAATGATATGTAAAAGTATAAAAAATTTAGATTTTCAAAGAATTGAATTTGAAAATTTTCGTAATTCAATTATTTGAAACTTCCCCAAAATTCAATTTTTCCTTTAAGGGCATTTGAACCATGATGACGTCACAGATTTAAAACTAATGCTTTGCACAAACTGTGACGTCATCAAGGTTCAAATCCCCTTAAAGTTTTTAACTAAAAACCTTCTCTAAATCAATTATTTGTTATAATTAATTAAAAATATATTAAAAAGTGCAAGTAAATTCTTTAAAATTTCTAATTAAATGCATTCAAAATTAAAAATAATTGAACTTTTGCAAAGAAATTCATTACAATTTTTAAGAATAATTGAATTTAGATATTTTATTAAAATTCTAGTGTAAATAATTGAAATTCTTCAAAGAAATTTATCAAAAAATTCAAGAATATAATTCTTGCGAGAAAATTTATTGAATTAATTGAATTCTTGATAAATATTCAAAATAATTGAAATTTTGCAAATAAAATTAACAAAAATTTTAATAATTAAATTTTTTTGCGAAATTTTATTGAAAATAATTTAATTCTTCAAAAAAAATAAAAATAATTGGAATTCTGAAATGAAATTTATTAACATTTTTATGAATAATTGAATTTTTTGAGAAATTTTATTGAAAATAATTGAATTCTTGATAAATATTAAAAATAATTGAAATCTTGCAAATAAAATTAACAAAAATTTTAATAATTAAATTTTTTTGCGAAAGTTTATTGAAAATAATTTAATTCTTCCGAAAAAATAAAAATTATTGAAATTTTGAAATGAAATAATTATCAAAATTTTTATGAATAATTGAATTTTTTAAGAAATTTTATTGAAAATAATTGAATTCTTGATAAATATTGAAAATAATTGAAATTTTGCAAATGAAATAAACAAAAATTTTAATAATTAAATTTTTTTGCGAAAGTTTATTGAAAATAATTTAATTCTACCGAAAAAATAAAAATTATTGAAATTTTGAAATGAAATAATTATCAAAATTTTTATGAATAATTGAATTTTTTAAGAAATTTTATTGAAAATAATTGAATTCTTGATAAATATTGAAAATAATTGAAATTTTGCAAATGAAATTAACAAAAATTTTAATAATTAAATTTATTTGCGAAAGTTTATTGAAAATAATTTAATTCTTCCGAAAAAATAAAAATTATTGAAATTCTGAAATGAAATAATTATCAAAATTTTTATGAATAATTGAATTTTTTAAGAAATTTTATTGAAAATAATTGAATTCTTGATAAATATTGAAAATAATTGAAATTTTGCGAATAAAATTAAAAAAAATTTTAAGAATTGAATTCTTTTTCAAATTTTATTGAAAATAATTGAATTCTAGCGAAAAATTCGAAATAATTGAAATTCTTCAAAAGAATTTATCAAAAATTTTAAGAATTGAATTCTAACGAGAAATTTTATGAAAAAAAATAATTGAATTCTTGATAAATATTTAAAATAATTGAAATTTTGCAAATAAAATTAACAAAAATTTTAAGAATTGAATTCTAACAAGAAATTTTATTAAAAAAAAATAATTGATATTCGGAAAATAAATTTATCAAAAATTTTAAGAATTGAATTCTAACGAGAAATTTTATTAAAAAAAATAATTGAATTCTTGATAAATATTTAAAATAATTGAAATTTTGCAAATAAAATTAACAAAAATTTTAAGAATTGAATTTTAACAAGAAATTTTATTTAAAAAAAAATAATTGAAATTCGGAAAATAAATTTATCAAAAATGTTAAGAATTGAATTCTAACGAGAAATTTTATTAAAAAAAAATAATTGAATTCTTGATAAATATTTAAAATAATTGAAATTCTTCAAAGGAATTTATCAAAAATGTTAAGAATTGAATTCTAACAAGAAATTTAAAAAAAAAAAAAATAATTGAAATTCGAAAAATAAATTTATCAAAAATTTTAAGAATTGATTTTATTGAAAATCATTAAATTAAATTCAAAATCATTGAAATTCTACAAATTAATTTATTAAAATTTACGAGAATAATTGAATTCATGCAAAAAGTTCAATATAATTGAAATTCTAATAGTAACAAATTCTTTTTTATTTTCTTGCAATTTTAATAAAGGGAGAAAATTTTTTTCAGAAATAATTTGAAAATAGCTAGTAAACAATAATTTTTTGGATTATTTATTACAGAAAATATTCCAAAAAAATGAAGTGTACGAATTTCTACCATTGACCAAGACAGGAATTAGAACGGGAATGACACTTTGTAGTGAATTTTCCATATTGCAACCAATTTGCATTGGTATTATTATTTTAGTCAGTGGATATGATTTGGACCAACTGAATAAGGTATCTAATTAATTAAAATTTATTATTTTCTTATTAAATAATTTTATGGCTTCCAAAAATATTGAATTCATTAAGTATAATTATTCTTCTAATTCAATAATATAATTAATTAATATTTTAAAATAGTAGTCGAAACGAAAAGATAATAATATAATTTAATAATAATTAAAAAAATTAAATACGTCAAGTAAACTTTTTTCTCAGTGTTTAAAAAATAATATTTATTTATAACAAAACTAATTTTCTTTTACAGAAAGCACTGCCGTATATTTTTTCCTATTTTCCTTCGGGCACATCGCTCCAAATTGCATATCATTATTACCAAAATATAGCTTCAGGTATTTTATGTATATAATTGTTCATTCATCATTATAATTATTCACAGTTGGTTAGTAAATAATTAATTGCTATTCTGCTTCATTTTAAACGAGAATCATATTTTAATTTTTTTTTTATAAACTACAGTATTTTTTTAAAATAAAATATCATGCAAAATATATTTTTCAGGTATTTGAAAAAATACTGTTTTTTAAAAATATAAGAATTTAAAATATATTTTTTATTTGAAAAAATACTGTTTTTTAAAAAAATAAAATAATTTAAAATATATTTTTTATTTGAAAAAATACTGTTTAATAATAAAATAAATTCAACAAAAATTTATTATCAATGACTTCCAGGGGAATTTCAACAATTTGATTATGGTGGTGAAAAAAATTTTCTAACTTATGGCCAAGAAAAACCACCTTTATACAATTTACAAAATGTTCAAACGCCCGTCGCTTTAATTTATGGCGGAGGCGATGTTATTTCGATGAGAGAAGTAAGTTGCTATTTTTTTTTTAAATAATAAGCAAGTAATTAAAAATATATTGCATCTGAATATTATTTTTTTATGTCAATTTTTTTTTTCAAGTAATAATTGTTACTATTTTTGTTTCATAGGACAGTGAAGAGTTAAAAAAACATCTACCAAACGTCGTGACATTTGAGAAGGTGCCCCACGCAAATTTCAGTCATTTAGATTTTCTTTGGGCAAAAAATGTCAGAACTTTATTAAATGACCGAATTATACAACTAATGTCAAAATTCGATAATTTTACATGAAAGAATTTTTTTAGAGAATTTTTAATTCAATTCTGTGAATAAGAGAAAAAATAATTGTAAGTTAAGAATTTAATAATTTTCTACTTTTTCTGCAACTTTTATTTTTCAATTTAACTATATTTGTTAATTAAATATTAATATTTAAATATATTTATGGTTTAAATATAAATATTTAATTAATATTAAATTAATTGAATATCAATATTTAATTAATATTAAATTAATTGAATATTAATATTTAATTAATATTAAATTAGTTAAATATCAGTGTTTAATTAATATTAAATTGTTAAATATAAATATTTAATTAATATTAAATTAATTAAATATCAATATTAATGAATATTAAATTAATTAAATATTAATAGATATGAGTGTAAAAATTTGGGACTCATCATCGCATTCAGACTGATTTTTTTCTTTCATATAACTGTATAAAAATATTTTTACGAACAATTTTTTTTTTAATATTTAAAAACAATGTATCAGTCTAGTCATTAATTATTTTAATTAAGATACATTAAAAAACTATATTTAATTGCCGTCTAATTGTTTTTATTAAGAAATCTAAGTTATACGCCTGAACTTATGCAAACACTCTTGCCGATAAGTAGCCGAAAAATTTTGTCACCATACATAGATGAGAAAAATAAAAATATGATAAATTCTCTTAAAATCTTGAAAATTTCATTTCTTTCAATTTTTACATTAATTTATTTAAATAATTTTATAAATTTTATAAAATTGAATTTAACGCAACGTAAATTTATCAAATTATCTATATAATTACTCAAAATTGTTTTTTAGTACAGAAAAATTAAAGTAAAAAATATTAAATAAAAAAAAATAATAGAAATAAAATTTGACGACAAATTTATAAAAAGAAAATAATTATTTGCAATTTTAATTAAATTTGCCTACACAATAATTCAATTATTTTCAATACAATTCTTCTCTGGAATTGAATTATTTTTACAAATAATACATTTTTTTATGGGAATTTAATTATTTAAAAAAATTCAAATAAATAAATAAAAATCCTTCGCAAAAAATCAATTATTTTCATAAATAATAAAATTTTTTTTCGAGAATTCAATTATTTTTAAAAATTTTGATAAAATGCTGTAAAAATTTTTGTAAAAATCTTCGAAACAATTCAATTATCTTCGTAAAAAATAAAATTCTTCGAAACAATGCAATTATTTAAGAAATTTTTATAAAATTCTTCCCAAAAATTCACAAGAAAATTCATCGTTAGATTTCAATTATTTTCAATTTTTAAATAAAATTTCTGAATGGAATTCAATTAATTAAAAAAATTTCGAAAAAAATTCTTCACAAGAAATTAATTATTTTCATAAATATTATTTTTTTCAGAATTCAATTATTTTTACAAATAATACATTTTTTTATGGCAATGCAATTATTTAAAAAAAATTTTAATAAAATTCTTCGCAAAAAATCAATTTTTTCACAAATAATAAAATTTTTCTCAAGAATTCAATTATTTTTATAAAATGTTGATAAAATACTGTATAAATTTGAAAAATTACAATAAAATTGTTCATAGAATATAATTATTTTCGTAAAATATAAAATTCATCCTAAGAATACGAAATTCGTCAACAAATTCAATTAATTTCAATTTTCCAATCATATTTCTTTAAAGAATTGAATTATTTTTAATGAAATTTTAATAAAATTCTTGGAACTAATTCAATTATTTTTAATTATTCAATTAAATTTCTCGAAAGAATTGAAATTATTTTCAATGCAATTTTAGTAAAATTCTTGAAACGAATTCAATTATTTTCAATTCTTCAATTAAATTTCTCGATGGAATTGAATTATTTTCAATGCAATTTTAATAAAATTCTAGGCACGAATTTCTCAAAGTTTTTATGAATAATTGAATTGCATTGAGAAATTTTATTGAAAATAATTGAATTCTTGTTAAATATTCAAAATAATTCAAATTTTTCAAATAAAATTAACAAAAATTTTAAAGAATTGATTTTTTTTTTGCGAAATCTTATTGAAAATAATTGAATTTTCGAAAAATTAAAAATAATTAAAATTCTGACAAGAAATTTATTATAAAATTTTTATGAATGATTTAATTCCTTTGAAAAATTTAATTGGAAATAATTGAATTCTTGATAAACATTCAAAATAATTGAAATTCTGCAAAGAAATTTATCAAAAATTTTAAGAATTGAATTCTAACAAGAAATTTTATTGAAAATAATTGAATTAAAAATTTAAAATTGAAATTCTGTAAATAAATTTATTAAAATTTTTATGAATAATTGAATTCTGTTGAGAAATGTTATTGAAAATAATTGAAATTCTGAAAATAAATTTCATAAAAATTTTAAGAATTGATTTTATTGAAAACAATTAAATTATTAAGTAGAATTTAAAATTTATGGGAATTCAATTATTTGTAAAAATTCAAATATAATTCTTCTCAAGAAATTAATTATTTTCATAAATAATAATATTTCTCTCCGGAATTCAATTATTTTCACAAATAAAGTTCTTCACAGGAATTCAATAATTCTTTAAAAAAATTTTTAATAAAATTTGTTGCAAGAATTCAATTATTTTCATAAATAACAAAACTTATCGCACAATTCCAATTATTTTTTATACAATTTTAAATAAAATGATATAGAAAATTGCATTCATTCTTAAAATTTTTTTTTAAATTCACCGAAAGAATTCAATTATTTTTTAAAATTTTGATGAAATTCTTTGCAAAAGTATAATTTTAAGAAATATTCAATTATTTATTTTTCTATTTAAATAATTGAATTCTCCAAAAATTTTCTGCTAAAAATTAATTAAAAAAATGAATTTCACTTAAAAATTTTTAATTATAATTGAATATTAAAAGCATTATAGCGTCAATTTTTATAAATAATTGAATTTTGTTGAAGGTTCAAATTAAAATTTTTGAAATATTGAATTTATAGTTTCAATATTCTTTTGAGATAAAATAATGATTTTATCACTTTGTTATTCTATTAATATTTATTATTATTTACTAATAATATAAAAAAATAATAATAGTAACGGTTATTTAAAATTTTTTTCTTCACCCCACGTTTAATATATCGACATATGTTAATTTAAGCGTCTCACAAAAGAAGAAAAAAATAGAACATTTAAATAATATTCAAATAAAAAGGAAATAAAAAAAGAAATAAAAAAGGAATTCCTATTTGTATATATATATAGGAAATAGTACATTTAAAATATTCGAATTTGAATGAGTAATAATAATGATAATAATAATAAAATGCAAAAAAGTGTGTCAAAAATTTGGAATTGTGTGAAATTATAATGAAATGTCTCGGATCCTCCAGAAATGGAGAAAGCAAATTATTATTATAAATTGATTGGTGAAATGTATATAGACAAGACGTCACACACAATTCCATCTGGAAAGAGGAGAAAGGAATCTGAATTATTGATATATGTATTCTTCCTCGCAGGACATCTTCATCTTTTCGAATAATATGTGCCTGCATTGGCGTCGAATTAATTGTATACAAAAAAAAATATTTAAATTTACAAAAGACAGTAGTGTATTTGCAGGTCTCGAACTCACGCAATTATTTTTGTACTTTTCGACAGATTTTTTACCAGGTGCAACTTTTTTTTATTACTATTTTTACTCTTTTTACTATTTTTCCTATTTTTTTTACTTTTTTTATAATATTCTTTTTCTATTTTTCATTATTTATTTTCTTACTCTTTTGTACAATTTTTACTATTTTTTGTACTATTTTAACTGTTTTCTTACTGTTTTGTACAATTTTTACTATTTTTTGTACTATTTTAACTGTTTTCTTACTGTTTTGTAGTATTTTTACTATTAATCAGTATTTTCATTTTCACTATTTTTTTTCCTTTTTTTACGGTTATTTCAATTTTTTTTTACTATTTTGTCTGTTTTCTTACTCTTTTGCAGTATTTTTACTATTATTCAGTATTTTTATTTTTACTATTCTTTCCTTTTTTACGGTTATTTCAATTTTTTACTATCTTTACTATTTTAACTATTTTCTTATTCCTTTGTAGTATTTTTACTATTATTCAGTATTTTTACTTTCGCTATTTTTTATTTTTTTATAGTTATTTCAATTTTTTTACTATTTTTAGTCTTTTCTTACTCTTTTGCAGTATTTTTACTATTATTTAGTATTTTTATTTTTACTATTTTTTCCCTTTTTTACGATCATTTCAATATTTTACCATTTTTATCATTTCTTTTTTTTGTACTATTTTTTTTACTATTTTCACTACTTTTCACTATTTTTACTGTTATTTGACTATTTTTACGGTTTTCTTTATTATTTTTATTATTTTATTTTTACTATTTTTTTGTACTATTTTGATTGCTTTCTTACTCTTTTGTAGTATTTTTATTATTATTCCGTATTTTTAGTTTTATTTTCACTATTTTTTTCTTTTTTTTACGGTTATTCCAAATTTTTTTTACTATTTTGACTGACTTCTTACTCTTTTGTAGTATGTTTATTTTTATTATTTGTTCCCTTTTTTACGGTTTTCTTAAAATTTTGTACTATTTTTATTATTTATTTTTTTGTACTATTTTTATTATTTACTTACTCTTATTTTTACTACTTTTCATTATTTTTACTGTTCTCTTGACTATATTAACGGTTCTTTTCACTACTTTCATTATTTTTTTACTATTTTTTACTATCTTTACTGTTTTCTTATACTCCTTATTAAATATTTTTTACTATTTCTACTGTATTTTTTCTTTTTTTTACTATTTTACTATCACTTACTTTTTTTCAATATTTTTTTTACCATTTTTTCACCATTTTTACTGTTTTTGACTATTTTCACGGTTTTTAGTAAAAATAGTACAAAAGAATAAGGAAAAAGTAATAATAGTGGAAAATTTCTACTGATTATTTACTTTCTTTTCTATTTTGTAGTTTTTTTTACTCTTAATTACTATTATTTTTACTGTTTTTCACAATTTTTACTGTTTTCTTTATTCTTTTGTACTATTTGTACTATTTTTTAAATATTTAAATATTTTTTATACTATTTTCCACTATACTTTTAATTCTTTTTTACTGTTTTCTTAATCTTTTTATATCTTTTACTATTTTTACTGTTTTCTTTATTTTTTTAAAAATATTTTTTACTATTTTTATTGTTTACTGAGAAAATTGTAGTAAAAATAATGAAATATTTTTTCCGATTTTTACTCTTTTTACTATTTTACTGTTTTTTTTACTCTTTTTGTACTATTAACGGTTTCTTATTCTTTTTTACTATTTTCTATTACTTGTACTCATTTTTATCACTTTTTACTGTGTAAAAAACATTTTTTACCATTTCAACAAATTTTTTTTCAACATTTTAGTTTTGAAAATAATTTAATTTTTTTCAGTTAAAACTTTTAACAAATTTTGAATTTCCTATTATAAAATAAAACGAAATATTTTTAGTAAAATTTTTTTTTCTGTAGAATTTACAGAATATTAAGAGAACAACATTTTGAATCTTTTATTTATTTATTTATTTATTTATTATTATTTTTGAATTTATAATGAAGAAAATCTTTTTATAAAAAAGAGATAAATAATAAATATTTAATATTGTGATTGAAATAAATAAATTTAATAAATAAAAACAAATAATATAAATAAAAAATAATATTATTTTTTTGTAGAGTAATATTATTTTTTATTTATATTTAATTAAATATAAATAAGAAAATAATAAATAGAATAATAATAATTAAGTAATTGATTAATAATAAATTCGATATTTCTTCGAATTTTCCCTCAATATTGTGAAACAAATTTAAAATACAGTTTCCATACAATTTTCGATTAAAAATGAAAATCTTCGTGACACAGTTAATTATAACTCGAATTTTCGAGGGAAAATTTTATAATTATTTTATCTTAAGAATTGCAACCCGTCATACACAGAAGTATGTCAAATATATAAAAATCCATATTTTCGTTTGTCGAAATAATATTTGTCACACAGGAATTAATTATAATCATATCGTAGAAAAATAGATATTGGTAAAAATATGGATTTAAAATTTGAAATAAATAAAAATAAACAGAAAACTAAATTTATATTAAAGTGGGAAACTTTTGTACTCTCAAGTGATAAGAATAAAAGAGCAAAAGAGAAATAAAAGAAACTAGATAAATATAAAATAAATAAATAAAAAAAAAATAAGAGTAAAAAATGAATGAAAAAAAAAAAAAAAAAAAATTCGGTTGGTAAAATTCCTTTTTCAGATTTTTTTTGTAGTTATTTACATAGGACCCGTAAAAGAAACTGGAGGACTCGACGCCAATGAATGAACTATGTCTTGTATTACCCCTTCTTCTCGCATAAGGCCCCTGTAGACGGCCGTTGACCACGAAAAAATCATTCTTCAAGAATCCGTACAGTCCGTCGTGTTTCATGTCAAGTTCCTTTTATTCTTTTTTTTCTTTTCGTTGTTCCTGCTTCTTCTTCTTTTTTTTTATTGTTGTTATTATTATTCTCTAAATGTATCGCTCTTTAAATATTTGTATTAACAATTTATTATTTAAGTCACATTCTATTGACGTTGATCTCATTGAATTTATTATTTAAATTCACTGTTAACTCAAAAAAAAAAAAAAAAAATTCTCATTTGGAAATCTTCGAGTGTCAGCTGTGTTGTCTTTTGATTTAAAAAGTGAAGTGAGTGTCAATTAATTTTATTAAAAAAAAAAAAATTGCCATATTTTGACTCCCTGTAACTGTGCAATTTTACATTTCAACAAGTGTGTTGTATGTAAATTTTTACACAAAAATATGTATGTAAATTTTTTATATATAAATATTTTATAGACAATTTTTATTTTAAAAAATTTTATTATAATTATATTTACAGTTTATTTGATTTTTCTCAAGTTTGAAATTAACGAATTTTTTCTTCCGATGAATTATTTTTTAAAATATTAATTAATTAAAAATTAATTAATTTTTAATTTTAAATTAATTAATTTTTAATTTTAAATTAATTAATTACTTTAAAATTAATTAATTACTCTAAAATTAATTACATTAAAATTAATTAATACAGAAATTAATTAATGCGGTTTAGAAATTACCGAATCATTTTAAAATTATTAATTAGTCGTTTTGAAATTAAAAAAGTATTTTAAACATAATGAATCGTTTCGAAATTAATTAATTACTTTACAATTAATTAATCGTTTTAAAATTAATTAATCATTTCAAAAATAATTATTAAGAAGCCTCATTATTAATTACTTCAAAATTAATTATTCCGAAAAAGAAAAATAATTAAAATTTATTTAGTAACAAAATTAATTTTCTTACTCTACGAAATAATTATTGTCAAAAATACAAGTTAGAAAAAGAAAAAAAAACGTAATTATTTAATTAATATTTCGAAATCTCAACAAACTTTAATTTCTAAAATTGAAATTTTCTATTTTAAATTTTTATTTGTTATCTTATTCATTACAAAATTAATTTACTTTCAAAAAAATAAATTTGAAAAACAATTGTAAAAATTTATCCTTAAATTCAGTTGGACTATAAAAAAAATTCTATAAATCTCATAACTTTTCAATTTTTTTACTATTTTAAAATAATAATTTTTAATTTTACAAAGAATTAAATAATTTCCAAAGTCTTAAAAATTACAAATAAATAAAAAAATTAATAAAAATTAAATTAACTAATTAGTTTATAATTAAATAATTTTTAAAGTTTTAAAAATTATATACAAATAAAGACAAAAATTATAAAAAGTAAATTAACTATTTAGTTTATAATTAAACAATTTCCACAATTTTAAAAATTACAAATAAATACAAAAATTATTAAAAATTAAATTAACTAATTAGTTTTTAATTAAACAATTTTCAAAGTTTTAGAAATTAAAAAATAAATAAAAAAAACGAATAAAAAGTGAATAAATAAACAAATTTATAATTAAAAAATTTCAAAAGTTTCAGAAAATAAGAATAAATATAAAAACGAATAAAAAGTAAATAAACTAATTTTTAGTTAAACAATTTCCAAAGTTTTAGAAATATTGAGTAATAAATAAATAAAATAAATGAAAAATAAATAAACAAATTGATTAATATTAATTAAAATTAGTGTTAATTAAATAATCAATAAAAACTAAATAATTAATTAATTAATAAAAAAATTTAAAAAAAATTCTAATCGGTTTTTTATGTTTCAAATTATTTGAAGCTAAATTTAGTTTCAAATAATTTGAAACATAAAAAATTTCAGAGTTTGATGATGAAATTTTTCGGGGGAATATAAAATATAAAATTATATACACGTTGCGAGTAAATTCCAGTGACGATGATTAATTGATTGTCATTATAGATGTTTTCTGGTATGCTAACCAGAGGAACTTGTAAACAGAAACTGTCGCAAGTGAAAAGTGAACCGGTTATAATATTGGTTCTTATAAGCGAAAGTATTTATAAGTATACTTACATACAATTATACTAAAAAGTTGAACGACCATGTCAAATGCGAAAAAGAACTATTCAAACTTACATATATGAACATATATGATTTCATAATTATCTTTATATAAATTGACCCACAAAAAATAAGAACTTGTTCACCGGAAGTGATATAATTAAATTTTTAACATTCGAGTGCAACACAATATTTAACCCCGAAAGGAAAAGGGAAAAAATTTTTTCAATGTTGTCGCGCAAAAAATAATATGCTAATAACTTGATTTTCAATTCCAAATTATTCTCTAATTTCCTGCAGTTAAATAATTCATATTAATTTCATAATTTATTAATTTTTTTATTAATTTATTAATTTTCTAATAATTTAGTAATTTTCTAATAATTTATTAATTTTCTAATAATTTAGTAATTTTCTAATAATTTATTAATTTCCTAATAATTTATTAATTTCTTATTAATTAATTAATTTCCTGTTAATTTATTAATTTTTTACTAATTTATTAATTTCCTACCAAATTTATTAATTTTTTATTCATTTATTAAATTCTTGTGAATTTATCAATTTCTTATTGGTTTATCAATTTCCTTTTAATTTATTAATTTCTTATTCATTTATTAATTTCTTATTAATTTATTATTAACTAAAAATATGAATTTTAATTTAAAATTATTTATTAATATTTACTACCTGCTATGCATTGTTTTAATAACAGCGATAATAAAATTCTTTTCCAAATATCTAATTATAATGACACTCGGAAAAAAATGTTGACTTGTAACAACTATAAATATCCCTGAATTAGCAAATTTTTAATTTTTCCAATTAATATTTTCGTTATTTATTTTGAGAAACTTTCAATATTATGACTTTTTCGACTTTTTTCGATATTTTCAAAAATTGACACTTTTTTCGACTTATTTTAAAAAATTGCAAGTTTTTTGTCTTCCAAATAAAAAAAGCTTTGGAATAATTGAAATTTTGTTAAATTTAATTAAAAATAATAATTAATTTTTTTCAAGTATTTTATTAAATTTTTTGACAATCACAACTTTTGATGAATTTTAATTACAAATTTTTAAAATAATTGAATTCACAAAAGTTTTAATGAAAAATCTTGAAATGTAAAATTTGAAAATGAAAATAAATGAAAATCAGCTTCTAAAAATTATATTAAAATATTTTTGAAAAAAGTAATTCTTTGAATTTCTTTTACTCCAATTTTTTAAAATTCAATTATTTTTGAAAGATTTAATGAAAAAATTCAAATATTTCTGAAAGATTTTAACAAAATTGAATTATTTTTAAAAGATTTTATCAAAATTCAATTATTTCTAAAAGATATTTTTCAAAATTCAATTATTTTTGAAAGATTTTATTAAATTTCAATTATTTTTAAAAGATTTGATTAAATTTCAATTATTTTAAAAAGATTTTATCAAATTTCAATTATTTTTAAAAGATTTTATCAAAATTCAATTATTTTTAAAACATATTTTTCAAAATTCAATTATTTTTGACAGATTTGATCAAAATTCAATTATTTTTAAAAGATATTTTTCAAAATTCAATTATTTTTGAAAGATTTTATCAAATTTCAATTATTTTTAAAAGATTTGATCAAATTTCATTTATTTTTAAAAGATTTTATCAAAATTCAATTATTTTTAAAAAATATTTTTCAAAATTCAATTATTTTTGACAGATTTGATCAAAATTCAATTATTTTTAAAAGATATTTTTCAAAATTCAATTATTTTTGAAAGATTTTATTAAATTTCAATTATTTTCAAAAGATTTGATTAAATTTCAATTATTTTAAAAAGATTTTATCAAATTTCAATTATTTTTAAAAGATTTTATCAAAATTCAATTATTTTTAAAACATATTTTTCAAAATTCAATTATTTTTGACAGATTTGATCAAAATTCAATTATTTTTAAAAGATATTTTTCAAAATTCAATTATTTTTAAAAGATTTTATCAAATTTCAATTATTTTAAAAAGATTTGATCAAATTTCAATTATTTTTAAAAGATTTTATCAAAATTCAATTATTTTTAAAAAATATTTTTCAAAATTCAATTATTTTTGACAGATTTGATCAAAATTCAATTATTTTTAAAAGATATTTTTCAAAATTCAATTATTTTTGAAAGATTTTATCAAATTTCAATTATTTTTAAAAGATTTGATCAAATTTCAATTATTTTAAAAAGATTATATCAAATTTCAATTATTTTTAAAAGATTTTATCAAAATTCAATTATTTTTAAAACATATTTTTCAAAATTCAATTATTTTTGACAGATTTTACCAAATTTCAATTGCTTGGAAATTTTTTAATTATATATAATTGAAAAACTAGTCTTTTAAAAATGATTGTAAAATATATTTATAATAAATTAATTTTTGTATTTTAATAATTGAATTCCTAAAAGCAATTTTATTATTTATGAAAATAAAATTGAATCCCTAAAAAAATTTTAATATTTATGAAAAAAATTAAATTTCCGAGTGGAATTTTAATATTTGTGAAAATAATCGAATTCTTGAGGACAATTTTCTTAAAATTTTCTTGAATAGGTAATTGAATTTCGAGGAAGAATTTTATTACTTTTGAAAACAATTAAATTTTGCATGGAATTTTATTAAAATTCCTGATAATAATTCAATTCTTGTGATAAATAGTTATTTTTGAAAATAGTTGAATTTTGCAAAGAATTTTAATAAAATTCCTGAAAATAATTGAATTCTGACGAAGCTTTTTATTAAAATTTTTTAAATAATTGATTTTCATCGAAAAATTTTTTACAAATTCTATTTTAAATAATTGAAATTGAATTCCTTTAAATTTTTTATTATTTTTATGAAAATAATTGAATTTGGAGGAAGAATTTTTATATAATTAAAAAAAAATGCGGGGCATTGTGAATAAATAAATAATTGAATTCTTGCGAACATTTTTTTTTTAATTTTTCAAATAATTGAATTTCGACGAAGAATTTTATTAGTTTTCAAAAATAATTGAATTCTTGTGATAAATATTGTTATTTTTAAAAATAATTGAATTTTACAAAGAATTTTTTTTTGAAATTTCTAAAAATAATTGAATTCTTTCGAAGAATTTTATAAAACTTTCTTAAATAATTCTTTGAAAAATTTTATGGAAATTCCATTTTAAATAATTGAATTCCTCGGAAATTTTTATAATTTATGAAAATAATTGAATTTTCGCGAAAAATTTTACTATTACTTAAAAATAATTGAAATCTTGACGAGAATATTTTAAAAAATTGTAGAAAATAATTGGATTTTTGATATAATCCTTCGAAA